TATGGGATCAGATCTCTCCTTCTATCCCTGACGCCCCCGATGTTCCCACTGTGACGCCAGCTGATCATCAGGATCCGATCGAACTCGACACCCTTTTTCCGGTGAAGACTTCGACGATGACACCTGGCAACAGCCCGACGACCTCATGGCTCGCATCCTCAACCCTGTCGACGCCAACGAAACGACCATTTCCGGCCCTGGCATGGTAGACAATGTCAACGTGGACTTAGCAACTGTCCAGGTGCCGTCATCTGATGAAGCTGGCCGCAGGAAGCGGCGCCGTGTGTCAAACAAGAAGTACGGAGACTTCGTAGGTCATTAGGATATCGTCTAGTGCATGTACACACTTTATTTTACTTCAAATTCTATGTTTTTCGTGGTTCTACCGAGTGTCCCTTAGTTAAGTTCCCGGACGCCCATACACATGGGACTGTCCCACCCTCTAAGTTCCGTTCCCGGTCCGGTGGGACACGGGACGGGAACTTATGGTCTGCTCGTTACAGTAGTACTGGCACATAGTATCATGTCGCTGAAAATTAAGCTTAGATTTGTTGTTAAGTGATCTGGCCAGCAGTAATAACGCGATCCTTCCTTCCTCCGTTCGATCCTTTCTGCAGCTATCCAAGCTCACGATGCTACTAACGGAGTCATCCCGTCTAAACCACGCACGTATACATTATAAAGCTATCAAGCGCCATACGGGCGCATCATTCACCTTATCCTTTGATCAGGATCGTCCTCTGATATCTCTACGGTAAGATGTCCTTCTGAAATGGAAATTAGGTTCTGGCGCACATTGCAGCATACTGACCGAGCTTCCTGCTCAGATCGTCTCGAGTCATCTCTGAGCGTGACCCACCACTTTTTGTGAGAAATCAGTGACTCCCGTGAAATCGAGCACTGATTATGCTCATCGTTCTCAACCCAGATATCTGACCGGAGCGGAAGCTGAGGGACTTATTGAGGCGTCATGAGTACATCACCAAACTTGTTACATACATTTTCCCCCCCATAGCCCAGTTAGTATCTGGACATACAGTACGTCAAGGTAAAAGTTGATCGAATTCTCAAGGCGCACCAGTATATGTCTACCATGGTCAACAACCCTTATTTGCCGGATGATTTGTATTTAACCGGAGTAGAGGTATGTCAATGATCATAACTGTTTATTACCTTCCCCGCCGTGAATCACAAATTACAGTTGATACGTGAATGGCATGCACTGAAAGTTAAGAAGAACTTCGTAGTACTAGTTGAAATATAGACATCTTATCATCACTCCATATTATTCAAGGGATGCTGTCCTCAGAATCCCTCAGTGACCGATGAAACACAATAGTGGTATCTACCTGGCAGTCAACCATTCTTTCCGACAAACTGTACTTCCTAATAGTGAGTATGAGACGTGGTCCTAACATATTTGCTATGAACGAGCCAACTGCTACAGCTAGATATGGGTCCTGAAATTTTCTGTGAGCTAGTACCTATTAATTACGAGAATCATACCTCACCTTCAAGTACAAGGCACAAATGACAAGGAGGACCACTGAAACAATGAAGCTAGGTACATCAGGTTTACTACTGTCGGGATCCATTGTGAAATACAGATTCAACGATGACGCACGTAAGGAAGTAGATGCTGCTGTCGCATACAATGATGCGCAGCAATGGATGCCAACCTGTCCCTGGCGTGACCCACGGTGATATCCCGTGGCTAAACAAGGATTTGACTATAAGTCCCATAAGAAGGACTTCGAAGATACCCCAAGTAATACAACCAATAAGGAAACCTGTAGAACATGAGATGGAAGGAACTTTGATGGAACATACAATTTACAAGTTGCGGCATCACCCTTGCCGTACAGACCCCATTGCAACGCAAATGCAAAGCAGATTATCTCAAGCACAAAAAATGTTACCAGCACAGATAACAGCTGTCGATTACGACTGTATAGAGCATATACTCTTAGGAGCAAGATTGCCCAAACGGATAAAACATCGTTAGCGGCTACATCAGTAAAACCGCAAATTTCTTGCCAGCCTTGTCACCTTGCCACAAGGTGACAAGGCGTCATGAAACATAAAACCCAACATTGAATCGTAAAAACAGTCTGATACTTACTATTCGGATATTCTCAAGCTTCAGATGATGTTTCAGATCCGGAATATGGTCTAGGAATACCGAACGAAGTAAATTTCTTTGCCTTGTAGGCACTTGTCCGTGTAAACTCCGCTCCTCCGAAGCGACGTTGCCGCGCCAATAGACTTGCCTTGCCGATTTCGGCGTCATGGTCAAATTGTTGCCTTGTGCAGGGTTGCACAACCTTGTACAAGGCGCGACAAGCATTTTTCATCTTTACTGATGTAGTCACATAGCAAATCGAACACCATGACCCATACCTTGAAGTGCGGCTAAGTAAACTACTGAAAGCCAACATATCGCATCATCCAGCCCAAAGTCAACTAGATTAGCTGTTAGGTTAGCATTTTCAGTATCTTATCACCATCGGAGAAACTACGTATTTCAACTCACGTCTGTATATGTGGCAAACAGTTACTGTAAGATGAGTGCGTGTAATGCAAGCTACGAGCGAAGTACCTTCCAGAGCTCTAATAAGATGGTGAGTTGTGCCTCGTTAGCTTTTATTTTGCTTACCCGTAAATGAATCGCGTCGAAGCACCCATTCGCATCACCGGTTTTCACAAGCATAGATACTTGCTCTACTTGCTCAATGTGTCTTCACAAGTTTTGAACTCGGTGAGTGCATGTTCCGTGAAATAACCGAAGAACATACATTCGCAAACCCAGCACAATGTAGATACTGACAAAGGAGAGCACGACCCACGCGACCTACCATTAATTGCCGATTCCTTTAGTCAAAACTTAAGACTTACGTTATCATTATTTTACCCGAATAACGGACCTAGAGGTAGCATCAACTCGGGAGCACCTTGCATACGCGGCATCCGCAATCTACCCACAATGAAATATATGGCAGAAAGGAGAGACAAAGGGTCAGTCTAGGATGAATTAGTAAAAGCACTAGAGGAAAGCCTGCGAGCAGACATGACTCACCCAGACGAGATCAATCTCTTGTGATATTCTGCAGACTTTCGGCAAGCCATATCAGTAGATTCATAGACAGTATGATGATATAATCTCTTGTGCTCACTGTAGTCGTAGTAGTGTGCACAGAAGGTTGCAACTTGAAGGTTCGTCAGTCCGAATTACAATATAGAACCATCATAGGTCTCATAGTGCACCTGTAAGTAGCTGATAACGTCTCTCCTCCATTGCATATGAAAGACATGCAGAGAATTTTTGCTGTGGATCCATGGTTGTCAGAGCCAGCTGAAACGATAGAATCATATCTTGTTTTTTACAACAGTGACTGTCTTTGTGAAGTTGCGCTCGTCGAGTCGTTGAGACGGAGTTGAAATCGGAACACACGGGATGTCGAATTACTGGCGAGTTGCAGACGAGGCGTTGAGATGCGAATGAGGCTCGATTTTGGATATACTAGTAGGTCACTAGTGTAGGTTACTTATATACCAAAGAGAATGTAACTAGAGAAACAGAATATAAGGAATACTAGATAACAATGAGAATGATGAGGAACAAGGTCTCGAAGACGACATTGTTCAGAATGCTGTTGGTCTTAGTGTTGTATTCTGCCGACGTCTTGTACACTTACATCGACCCTGTGGCCGTGTACGAGTCGGTCACTACGACGATTAGGGTCTCCGACCTTGCAGCCTTATATGCATTTCACAGCCTACCCTCATTATAGAAGACACCCCCAACCTGCGCCCGGAATCATCGCACATCATTAACCATCAATACGCCAGTGTTTTCCAGATTCTCGAAAATAGATCACATTAGCTGCTTGCAAGACTGTCCATCTAACATGGCAGATGTCTTTTCTCTGAGATCAATAATCAATGCACGTGGGATGGAAACCCGAGATGTATAATGGGCTTATGCGCGGAGATATCAAGCCGTCCACATCAGAACAACCCCACTACTAGTAGGTCGTGTTAAGGGCACTGTGAATACGATGGATGGATGAATATGCTGTAAAGTGTCAAGATGACCAATGTCGCAGGAAAGGAGGTTGATTTCTTTTAGGATCCATCTCGATATCGTGGTTACACGCTTGAAAGGATCAGATGAACTTCCGATGGCACGTCGCGCTATGGGTTATCCACTTGAGCGTTGACTTACATGCACCAGAGGGTTTCAAAACCGAAAGCGACATGGCTCAGGTGTCGGACATGTTAATTGTCACCTCGTGCAAGCTTAAAGGTATAATATCTTGTCCTTGACACCGGCTCAATTACGTGAGTAGTACACTATGGAGTGCGTTCGTGAAACCGAGGAGGGGAGTGCTGGATGTCCGGCCTGAGGAAATAGGGGGTTGCAAGGTTGCTGGGTATTGAAACTCCGAAATGCTCCTCGAGCGCGGTCCGAATCACAGTTCCTCATTATGACGCACTCCTTCGGCTAGCCCCGGCAGTGCACCGTCTATGGGCACACGAGCGCGTGGGAGAAGCAGCACCTTTTCCGCTCTGCTTCTCCCCACTCGTTTCTCGCTGCCAACGTCTGGCAGCTCCCTTTCTGCTGCCCACCCTCCTCTCCCTTCTCACTGCCTCTCGCAATGCCCAAACCTCAGTTCACCTCTGCATGCAGACCCTGATTAACAGCTCCCGGCCAAGGACGCACTGTTTCCTCTCTGTCTGTTCTTTTCCCAGGCCTCCTATCCCCGCCACTACGCCCTTCCCTAGTGGCGCCACCCCGCATATGTTTTCTGCCATGAGTTTCCCCCGTCCACCGGTCCTCGCCACCGTTACGTTACCCCTCCTGGGCTGGTATATATCCCGCAGAGGCTGATGCGCCTCCCCCCCCCCATTCTTTCCCTCCAGACATCATTTCGTCCCAGCCATGGCTGCATCTCCACTCTTTTCACATCTCCATGGTCTGGGCATCCACCGGGACCACCCCTATGGGCCCTCATCACCTTTGCCGCCCCCACCACCCCCGGGATCCTCCATTTTTGTCCAGTGTTACGACCCTCCCCTCCTGGACTGCCTCGACAACATCGTCGTCGTCCCCAAGCTCTACCTGCATCCCATTCACCATGAAGATCAGGGCTCCCTCTGCGTGGGGGACAAGATAGTCGCTCACCATGCGTACACCCTCCCACGTGGCGCCCTCCAGATCCCGGGGCCAGCTGCCGCCTCTGGCCGCATCACAGAGGTCCTCTCCAGCGGCCATGGCTGGCGATACCTGTTGGTCCTCTGCGAGTCCCTCCTGGGAGTTGACACTGGGGCCCATCCCATTCATGACCTGATCCACACGGCCATCATCCTTGCCGTCCCCCTTTGTGTCACCCCAATTCCCACCCCTGTCGCCCTGAAGAAGAAACTCTCCTTCTTCCGCCACCACCAGCCCACCCCCCCAGAGCACACCCAGCGCACGTGCACCCCACTGCCCCCGCCTCCGGGTCACCGGGTCGCACCTACTGTATCAGCTCTCCTTGACATTCTGCCCCAAGACGCCATACTGGGGGTTGACGACGTCGCCTGGGACTCCAAGTCCGACTTTGCCCTCTAGCTTTGCATTGCTTGTGATCCAGCGTGCACCGCTGGGGAGCCTGAGCCTGGGAGGCAGTTCGTTCTCTCCCGCCCACCCACACTGCTCGCTTCAGACCCCCCCTTCGGTGCGCACGGACGCAGGCCGTAGCCTGGCCATCGGGCTTCGCCCATTTCATAGTCTCTCCTTTGTCATATCTCTCGGACTCTTTCATGCCTACCTATTGCCTGTCTTTACTCGGTTTATGATACGCGCACCGTACACACGTGTTCTCTAGTTTTTAGTGCCCCACGGCAGCAGTCGCCCCTTTATCAATACACTCCTGCCTTGATCCCAAGCGAGATCAGACACATAGACCATCACTGCAGACAAACGGCGATTTTATCCGGGGTGAAACCGAGAGAAAGAGGCGGCGAGATGAAAGCCTTTTCCTCCAAGTTTTGAAACCCCCTTTTGCAAAGGAAAAGGTATCCTTTTAGCCGACATTTGCGTCAATTCTGCGCTGGTAAAATGGACGGGTTACCGAATTTGGACTCTACCTTCCCGATTTGGACGTGTTTCTATCTAATCTCCGCACAGAAATGCAAACTCCGAGGCAAAAGTTTAACTTTTCAGTAACTTTTCGCACAGCAAAAGATGGGTGAAAAAGGCTTTCATCTGTCCGCCTTCTTCAACCACCTTTCCCAACAGAAAAATCACAGTTTGTCTGCAGTGCATCTCATCTTGCGTCGGCATCACCGCGGTTTGTTTCTCGCATGCATCAAGCACTTGCCTTACCGGAGATACGACTAGAGATATGCGATCGAGTAGACTGCTTGACGTCACTTGCTATTTTGGCAAGGACGGGTACGGTGTTCAAACAAATGTCGCTCGACAGGATGTGGTCCGGATGTGTTGAGCCCATCCACCCTGGCTACATCAAAAAGGCTGTGGCAAGCGTTACTGGAAAGCTTATCTACGACGTGAGCTCTCCGTGAACTTGAATATCTGCGCACAAGGCTGTAACATCACCTCACAGGCTGCCATTTCCGAGTATACGGAAGATGACTTGGACCTCCTCTATGGCTTCACGAAACGCATACAGTGTATCTGTCTCGACTACTCCTCCCTCTTTTTTGACTTTAACCATCCGGCTCTCCGGCAACTGGTTTCCTCACCATCCACTGTGCAGCGTGCCTTCCCCAAGCTCGAACGGTTGTATTCTTCGGTCCAGAATCTTGACCCGGAAGCCCTCATTCCTCACACCCACTTCCTCGTTCCTTCACTTCTCGAGCTCTCTTTGGCGTCTATGGCTCCCGCATCGGGACCCGAAAATGCCGAGCAGATGTTACGCGTTGCTGCGGATCGATGCCCTCGCTTGCAGCATCTTGAACTGCGGGGGAAGTTCTCTACGTCGGTTCTATCCCACCGTATCGACCGATTCGTTCGCTAGCTAGCTTGACGTGCCCCGGGCTCACAGCGAGCGCGCTTACGGGTCTTACACGCCTTCCAACGTTTCGGTGCTTGGATCTTGCACACCTGAAAACGCAACCTCAGTCAATAGTTCTTCAGTCAGATGGCGCGGACTCTCATATGCGCGCGATGGACAGCGTCAGGCTATGTCCGTCGAGCATGGACGACGCGGCGGAGATTCTGCGCTCGCTCGGTGTGCCCTACCGTAAACTTGAAATCTCCTACGGCGGCATTTATGCATACGAAATAGAGAACGTCTTAGCATCCCTATTTCACCCGCAGCATCTAAACGCTGGCCTAGAAACGCTAGTTCTCAACGGAATGTATTTTCGGCTCACAGATCCATTAGGGCAGTCCAACGTGCTCACCATCTCTACCATCTGGCCATTACTTTGTCACCGAATGTGATCTTAGCGTTGCGTGTCGCGTCTCTCTTTCGGATGATGATGTCAAGGAGATCGCGGCGGCGTTTCCCAGACTAGAAGTTATAGGATTCCCTCAATATACCTTGTCTTGCTTGACATTCGGCTCGCTTCTAATCTTATCCAGGCTCTGTCCCGTTCTACGACGCATTTCTCTAGCGGTCGATGCCACTACTTTGCTGAGCGAAACTAGTCCAGTGCTTCCTTCTCGACATATGGAGACTCTTAGCATCGTCGTGTGCAACGTGCAAGATCTGAACGCGTTTATTCGAACCCTGGCAAAGGTTTTCCCTACCATTCTTACCCTCAACATCAACAAAGATCCTAGACGTGAGGTGTCCGGAGATACGTCGCCAGTGACATTCACTACTATGAAGCCCCTCTTGGAGCTCTTTCAGCTAGTCAACCTGTCGATGCAGGTGAAAACGCAATTAGCACTGGCAGACGAAGACCTCAAGCAGCTAGCAGAAGGGCTACCATTGCTTAAGACGCTCAAGTTGGTCGACGAACAATCGCAAGACAGGGAAGCTACCATCGCTGGGGTGTTGGCGGTCGCGAGCCACTGCCCACGCCTCTCTTCGCTCACGCTTCGGGTAAATACGACGCGCTCGTGTCGACCTGATTTTGAGGACATAGGTGAAGCACGCGTCCAAGTCGACTCTGGTCTCGAATGCCTCGATGTATGGGATGAGTCGGCTTCACCAGACCCAAACGACGTGGCGGAGCTGGCAATCATGATGGCGGCTGCTTTCGGGAGATTGAGGCTCCTAGAATTAGGGCCGTACCACAGGGGATACATCCGCGATGCTATCAAACGAGTACGCGAAGCTGAGAAGGAGAAGGGGATTTCAGCGCTAGATGCTGAGTCCTTGCGGGATCTCGTGCGAGATTTGACGGCCGGCGGATCCTCCTCGGAGCCACCAAGGTTGTAACCAGAAGTTTTTATCGCCTACATGATTATTACCTACGTATAGGAGACCACGAGTAGATTTCATAAGAGTATAGATTCCCCATCATCAAACACGATATTAACGCTAGTGACTGGTACCCTGAGTGGTAGACGTCGGGCCAACATTGGGTGGAAAGATGGCGGGAAGGGGAAGAGAAGGCGGTGTCACAGCCTGTCACTAGTCGAGTCACTGCCGCCGAGTCACTCGGATCACACAGGATTCTGGGTCTGTGACTTGGCCAAGTGCGTTTGTGATTCGATAAGATATTGGTCGAGGTTCATAAAGCTGCAGCCAAACTGCATGCTCCTCCGCATCCCGAGCTGCAAAACGCTCAGTCTTCTACGCTCTTGTACATTCCTCCACACACCTAAAAATGTCTGACAACACGTTGACCTCAACTACCTCAACAGACAACACCGCCGTACGACGTGTCTCTGCCTCTGCGGCCAAGAAGGATCATGAGCTCGTCGAGTCGCTTATGCGCATATCTAAGAAGAATCCACGCCTCATCCGCTCGACCGAGTATGTCGCGCCGAATGACCCGGATGTCACGCTGCGCTCGTGGAAGATGAACGAGTTCAAATACTATGACGTTCCTTCCCCATTCCCCACGCTTGCCCGTGGTCTCTTCTCTCGCGACACGCGCACTGGCGATGGTGTCTGGCATGAGATTGTCGCTCGTGGATACGACAAGTTCTTCAACATCGGAGAGGTGCCATGGACTAGCGTGAGTCGCCTGTTTGTTTTCCTTGCCTATGTCGAGTCATTCTAAACGTCATCCACGGCGGGTGTATGCGCATATAGTGGCAGTCCCTCGAGGCACACACGGAGCCCCCATATACTCTCTCGCTCAAGTCAAACGGATGCATCATCTTTATCGCGCCTCTCTCCCCAACCAAACTTGTCGTCACCTCCAAGCACGCCATCGGCCCTCAAGGTACGGCCGAGACACACTCGCAGGTGGGTGAACGGTGGTTGCGCAAGCACCTCGAAAAGAAGGGAAAGGCGACGGAGCAGTTGGCGAAGACGCTATGGGAGAAAAAGTGGACTGCCGTTGCGGAGGTGCGTTCTAATCATCTGCGTTGTTGTGGTACTATAACTGACTTGTCTACTCGTTTTTTGTATCCAATCACATGTATGTGCTCATTCTGCACCAAAGCTCTGCGACGACTCCTTCGAAGAACATGTTCTCCCCTACCCACCTGAAAAGTCTGGCCTGCACCTGCACGGCATCAACGAATCCACCGCCAACTTCCGCACCATGCCTTCCTCCGTCGTTGACGCGTTCGCAGACGAATGGGGCTTCATCAAAACCGCCACCATCCAGCTCGACTCTATCGCCGCTGTGAATTCCTTCACGGACGAAGTCGGGATGACCGGCCAATGGAATGGCGAGCCCCTCGAAGGGTTTGTCGTCCGCACACACGTCCGCGCCCCGCCCAAGGCGGTCGACGCACGCGACAGGGGCGCTGCTCCTCCTTACGGCGAAGGCGCGAGCTTCTTCTTCAAGGTCAAGTTCGACGAGCCGTACATGATGTATCGCGACTGGCGAGAGATCACTAAGGCTTTGCTGGCTGCGAAGAACGGGACTGGCGGCAAGGAGGCAAAGCTTCCGAAGAACAAGATGAAGCGGCCAGAGACAAAGCTATACGTGGAATGGTGTCGCCAGGAGATCAGACGAGATCCGACGGCCTTCGCGGAGTATGGCAAGGGGAAGGGGATCATTGCCACGCGGGAGAGGTTTCTGAGGTGGATGGAGAGTCAGCAGGGAAAGGAGGGGCTTGTGACGTTGCCTCAGGAAGAGAATAAGGCGGCGGAGGGGTACGGGAAGACTGTCATTGTACCGGTTGCGATTCCCGGTTGTGGTACGTCAGAACTGTTCTCTCAGTCGCGGTCATTTGCTCAGTGTTGCATATGTTCAGGCAAGACGGCAGTGGCGGTTGGGCTCGTCCATCTCTTCGGCTTCGGGCACGTCCAAAGCGATGATATCCGCGCGAAGAAGCCAGCTCCCATTTTCATCCGCCGCGTCATGGAAAGCCTGAACCTTCATGACGTCGTCATCGCTGATAAGTACGCCTTCCATCCCTCGCGTCAGAGACCGTACTAACGACATGCCGATATTACCAGAAACAACCATCTCCGCCAACATCGCACCGAACTCCGCACCGCCTGCTCCGCGCGTTCCCCGCCCGTACGTCTCCTGGGATTGCAATGGGCACTCGACGCGCCCCCAGCGACGTTGCACCGCGTGTGCGGCGACCGCGTGCTCGCACGTGGGGAGAACCACCAGTCGCTCAGGCCAAACCCCGAGAACGTGACGCTGCACGAGGATGTGATCTGGCAGTTTATCCGCGGCCGGGAGGAACTCGGCGAGGGCGAGCTGGACGAGTGTATTGATATGGAGCTTGAAGAGGACCTGGAGAGCGCATTACGGAGGGCGGTAGACGGAGTCGTGCAGCTGCTAGACCTGGAAAGGCCAAGCGAGGAGAAGATGAGAGAGGCACTGGAGGCTGTGAGGGGATATGTAGCAGGTGAGAAGCGACAGGAGCCTGCTAAGAGCAAAGAGAAAGGGAAGAAGAAGAAAGAAGAAGGAGTCGAGTCGGCAAGATACTTCGGAATCCTGCCCGAGCTGTCCCTCGCCTCTTTGCTCGATCCACTCTTCACTTCACCTGACGCACCGGTGGAGGGCACGAAGATGTGGGAGCAGATAAAGCAACATAAACAGGTTGCGAATAGGCCGCACATCACGTTTGTGCATCGCCTGACCCGCGCGAACGAGGAGAAGCTCTGGGACGCGTGTGTTCGGGTCGCAAGTCTGCAGACGCCGCCGACCTTCTGGGTGAGGCTCGGGAGCGTGTTGTGGAATGGGCGGGTGATGGGTATCACCGTCGAGGAGATGGGAGTTGTCGAGGAGAACAAGGGAGAGGCGCCTGCCACGACGTCAACGACTGCCGATCATGCCCAGGACGAAGAAGCCCCTGACGCACATTTGCAGACTGTCTCGGGTCCGACTCGCCCAGGCCGTGAAGGGCGCCGTTTCCTCGACGGGCTCGAGCCTGAGGTCCTCAAGCGCCTACACATCACCGCAGGTACACACGAACACGGTGTAAAGCCTATAGAGTGCATGAGCATGACGGTCGATTGGCGCAACGGGCGGCGGAAGGAGATTGGCGAGTTCGAGCTGAAGGGGCCGGACGGGAAGGGTGTGGTTGTGGAGGGGAGGGTGAAGGGGCTGAACTTTTAGTAGTTGGTGGCCATGGACGGGGTCGCATCCTCTCTGTAGCATATGCTCATGATTCGTTCTCTCTGCTCATTCGGTAGTACATTCCTTGCATTACATTCAACGTATACCTAGATACTCTACATTAAACAGCACTTCTCAATGCAATCCGATTTCTAATCCCGATTTTATGCAGATAAGTAGGTGTACCAAACTAGAGGACTAGGCACATATTATGGGGAACACCAGACTTGAACCGATTGAATTCGACGGCAATAAATCTACACTCGATGCATTGGTAGGTCGACATGTCCGTAATAAGGTACGTATACGACATCGGAGCACCAACCGCCGGTCGGGATTCGGGAATGTTCATGATTGGCCAACTTTGTGACTTGGCCAACGACCCTTTGCAACCTCCGCCGCTGCTCACGACGATCATGGATTTTACTTCCGTTGCGATTGGTCCGCATCTCTGTCTCCGAATGAACTCCCCCGAGTGTCCTTGTATTCGTTGATTATCACATGGATCATCGCTTGACGGGGCTTGCAACGGCCGGTCAAAATCTCGAAGACCTCACTCTCTATCCCATCGTGGCTCTTCAAGCGAACCCACATTAAGTTGGTATCTTCATTATCCTCAAGTATCGGTGTTCAGAGGCTCCTATGGATGGTTCTCTGCACTATCAAACATCCGAAAAGTACTGGCGTTGAACTTAGGCAGATCTACGCAGATACGACCGCCCGGATCAGTCTCTCTCACAACGTCGTCGAGTTGTTCACATCGGTGGCAATGTGTGTATGATTGCGACTGCGGCAGTGCTCGCTCAGGTGGGTCATTGACAAGTGGTCTCCGCGTCGAGCTGGCAGAGCCTACCTGCTCCAGGAACTACGGGACCCTTACGTGGCACCCGCAACTTACTCGTCGCTAGTGCCCTTTGAACGTACAGTATCGGGTCATTCCTCATCTTCCTAGCACCCAAATCTCGTACTATCTCAAATTAAACATTCTCGTTTCATGCCCTCTTGTCACATAGAAGAAAGTTTCCCTTGTTATGACGTCTGAGTCAGGCACTTAGCGTGTAACCGGCTTTGTTAATGGGACACACTGCAGACATGGTTGCAACCACGGCGTGGCGACCATGACGTCTACAAAGACCGTGCAAGGTACGCGAAGTTGCTCAGTGCTCCCATAGATTGCTACGCGAGACTCGTTGATCTTGAGAACTTTCAGCTTCATTCAGCGTCTCCCGCATGACACCTCTGGCGTGAAGGACATGGGTCCGTGATGCATCATAGCAATATGTATAGGCAACGCGTGTGGTTCCCCTGGAGATTGACGATCGCTCATCTCTTTCTTACCAGCGCACAACGCTCACGGCTGGACCGAGTTTATTAACTTTCAACCTTTCCTTGCCATTACAAGAGTCTTTCCTTTCTACTTTTCACCCTTCGTTCCCTGCGTTCCTCCTCCGACTTATCCACAGACTCCCTAGAAGGCATCAAAAATGATGACCGTGGTGCTTACCTCCAGCCCAACAACTTTGAGTAGCTGCATGGACATTCTATCTCTCATACGCAAGGAGCAGTACCCACTAGGTATGCTCCATTGAGCTTATATTTCTTCAAGCCGTCGCTCATGTCGTCCTCACGTTCACAGTCGTCTTTGTGGGAGTGGTGGTCTTCGACTATTGTGAGCAACCTGACAAACGGCGTTTCTTACTTCGCTTGACTCATCTTGTAGTATGCAACATCTCCACGGACTGGCAGTTAGTTTGGGTGGGTAGTTGCAACATTGACGTTCTTAGTAGCCCCTGACATATTGTTGACAAAGACTGAACCCTGGACAATGGTGTCAATAACGTATTGTGTCGTAAGTTCAAACATACCGGTATCTTTGATGTTCTAATGAGAATAATCAGCTGCGCTACCTTGGCATTACGATTCAAGCGTGAGTTCTTGCGATAGAGATCTACGGAGTATTCAACTTACATTTCTGGCAGTACATTCATGGCAATAGGCTTTACTGCGTAAGCGGTTTCGTTCCCTGCGGCTTAATCGGCAGCCGTGCTCATAAATGTGCCAGAATAAACAGGGTCGAGTCCGCATTTTCTGCGTCTGATTACAATGATATCGCTTGTTTTCAAGCCATTGATGGTAACGTAAGTAAATGGGAAGGACATATAGAGATGAACGATGGTTCTTACATTGTCAACATTAGGCATATGGTGAACAGTAAGATCTTCATCGCTTCGAAACCCTATGGTCATGTTTATGGCATATTTTCGTCCATGCTTCCACATTAGATGTACGTGGAATATCGCTTTTCATTTCTGCGAATCGACCTGAATGCGGAAATATAGCGACATACGGTCTCACTCAGTTTTCCTTCTGGGCTAGCACGTTTTATCTCTCGGTCCTTCAAAGTGAGCTCTTCTTCAGATGCGTATGATAGAGAGCTCAGCTAGAATCAATTTAGTCCTCATGATCGCCCGTGTCTACGCTCTATACAAGCGGAACAGGAAGCTGGGATATGGCCTCGGGGCTTTCTTCGTAATCGAGACCGCCTGCATCCTGTTCGCGCAGCAATGGACGTTGGCTCATCCTCACGACGGCTGTAAGTGTCCTCTTTCATCATGTGCTCTTGTACTTATTCAGCACGCTGGCATCTCGCAAAGTCGCTCTCGGTGTTGGATGTGTTCCATGGCTCGCGTTTGAAGCAACGCTGTTTGCTCTGACGATCAATGCACTGATGAAGCAAATGAAGACGACGTGGGGATACAAGGCCAAGAACTGGCACCCTATACTGAAGATTATCGTGCGGGACAGTAGCATGTATTTTCTAATGTAAGTGCTCGCCGTGGCTAGTTCTGCTCTCTCATCCCCTTTCAAACTGGTCCCTAGGATCCTCCTTGCCAATGCGCTCATGGCCATCTGTACTCAGTTGTCACCCGTGAGAGGATTTACACTGTCATTGTCGAGGGTATACCATACTGATCACGAACAAAAACAGGAAGCGGCCACTCTTGGCCCCGCATGCGGCGTCTTTGTCACTAACATTGTGGGCCCACGTCTCATCCTCGGACTGCGCAAGCACCGCTCGGATAACGACCCGGTTAAGCTGACCATGTTGCATCCACCACATCATCGTCCCCACCCTTACTCGCAACAAACCCCTAGATCTGGAGCTATCACTCAGCAGTCGGATGTAATAATCATCTCCGGCGCTCCGCCCGAATACCGTACTGTTGATGTATAGTTCCTGCATATGGGAAGCAGATAGCTTACATAGTAGCTTAAGCCTACAAACGCTTCCCAAACATTCTACAGACACTTTGTCCTGCCTCTCACCTTTCTTGTCGGTATCCATATCCATAAGGAGAAACCTAACTCAGAAACAGATAGTTATCGGACAATCACGTCACTCCGTACTTAGAATGAACCCTCGTCTTTCAAAAAAAAACAATTTCCGAGTCCAGCGTTTTTCATCAATGCCAGTGCTGACTATGATCCATGTACTGACTCGAATACAGAACGGGATACACCACACTAAAAATAGCGAATGTTGACACTCTTGAGAGTATGACAATACGGGGGCTGTAGCTTGTGGGATAGCGGAGCCAAGGGGGTCTTCCTTGGCTCAGGCAGTGTTTTTTGTCCCCCCCCCGACGTCTTCTCTGTTGTAGTTGGTGCCTCTGCTTTCGACCTGTTTCTCTCCCCATGGATAGCGACGCCGACATCGACCTCTGTTACAAGTCCCTTTCCACAATGTGGCTCGTTCAGCTGTTGTCCGGTGCGTCTCACGTGGCCCTGTGGCTGACCATTACGCTGATCCCCGTATTGCTGTCAAGTTGCGTGGTGGAGCGTAACTCTTTACGACTACTGTACGGGCATTGCATACTTGTGGCCATGTTCAGGCTCTTACCGCAATGCTTTCGTATAGTGTTCCAGCTAACAAACGAAATTGATCTCGTATGGGTGCGTTCAGACCGCCTTCTTATTACCAAGAAGGCACCAATACCTGATTGGTTTGACTGTTACCCAGACCGATCCAGTTTCTATGACGTCGGGCATATATTTCATTGTCTGCATTCCGTAATTGATGATGATTACATGAATATTTGACAAAGCCTTGACAGCTCCGATACCTGGGAATGGTCATGCAATTGTGAGTGCTAGAGTCCTCGACTACGTGATCCTGAGTTGATTTATTTGACTTAGAATATATGTTATTGTCGGTCTACAAAGGTGTTACACGTTTATCTGAGTCGAGTCGAACTTTCCTAAGCAATTCATAGACTCCCCAACCTCACTCAGCAAATTTTATTATTAACCGACGAAGGCGTTGGTAGCAGATGCTTGTCTGTTATAGACTCGGACGTAAGGTATTCATCGGAAACGCGCTTTGCCGTATATTAACGTGACACTCTTAATAGGGCCCTCAAAGGTAATTTATAACGACGCTTGGAGCCAATATTACTCAATCCTTGCCGTAAACTTCGCCATGATACAGTGGTAAATGAGTCGCTGCTTGAATTGATTGTTGGAACTATCTTTCTCATTCAGCCTTTAGTCGACGCTACGATAGCCTGGGTGGGCTCAATATATTTGGCTGCATTGCAAAGTACGTTTTTTCTGTGTTGTGAAGCCTCACCTGTTAAACCAACGTCTTGTTTTCCACCCAGTCATCCTGCTGCTGAGGGTGTACGCATTATACAAAGCATCGAAACGCCTTCTACTTGTTTTGGGAGCCTGTTTCATTCTTGAAATGGCGTGCGTCATATTTGCATTGCAATGGGGAATTTATAGCGACCGCGCAAACAACTGTAACGAATATCTTCATCTGTTTCCGTGCTTTGCTGAGAAATTTGCAGATGGTTTGCTTGTCGGCGCAGTTCCTTGGGCTAGCTTTGAGTTATTGCTTCTGGTGCTTATCCTGAGAGCATCTTACAAACACCGACAAGCCACATGGGGCACTATGAGGATAGGCTTGAATCCGCTCTTGAAGATTGTCGTACGTGACAGTAGTATATATTTTCTGGGGTAAGCTCCTTTTAATGCAGACTCACTTGTTCTAAAAACCTGCTTACTGTCTTGATTTCCACAGATTCATATGCTCAAGTGCGTTATTGATCATTTGCGCTTTATATGTCGAGGTAAGCACTCATGTAATAGAACAAGAACACATGGGCATAATGAAGCTGCTAGGAATCGTATCTAGGTGTGGCATCCGGGGCGGCTTTAGCCAATCTATTAGGGCCTCGTTTGGTACTCACGCTCAGGAAACACTTCTTGTTGCGAGAACAAGTGGTACATATCCTGGACACAGATATTGCGTTTGCTCCAGCGCCTGATCACTCGATGGTTGACGAGCTGCTTAACTAGGAAAAGCACTACTTCACTTTATATTATTCCATCTCATAGTGCTTTAGTGAATCCTTGTTTCTTTCGGACCCTCGTACTATTCTTTTGGCATAAGCAACTTACATGTTCATGATGGCCAAAGATTTCATCGATCTATAAAACCCGTCATCGGTAAGCAACCTTTTCGAAGGCCCAAGCTTGTGACTCAATTCAAGCTTTGTTGAGAGGCTTTAGTCCGAGGTAACTTTTTCCTTCTTAGGAAGGCAATAATCCACTCCTTTGTGTTCAACGGGGAAACGTAGTCTTGGGGAAGGTATCAATGGAAGACACTCCTTCGAATCGAAATGTTGGATTGTCGTGCATCTGGGACGAGCGCTAACAAAAATGAGACTTATGGACTTCATCATTCCAAACGTAACAGAAAACACGATTAGCCTAATAAATTGACTACCGCCACAACATAGCTGTGGCTAATTCCTCGCGCATCGTATTCACAAAAGAAAACAGTAGGGTTCTCGTTAGTCGTTTATGAGGCGCGAGATTGAAGGTTCCGAAGACCCCTTCGGGCTTCGTCTAGCCTCTGTATGTTCTTCTCGATGATATCAAGTTCCAGACCTTCGTCCGGGGAGATATCTTCCGCCGCGGCAACAGCGCCCATGATGTAATGTAGCGCCCGCTGGTATTGTTTGAGAGTGAGTGCCATTCTTGCGGCATTACCTAGGGTGATCACGAGCCGCTTCCTTGCGCCGCAGATCTCAGCCGCGTACGTGCCCTTGGTGGCAACATCTAGGGCGACAAGAGCCGCGGCTAGCTCCGCGGCGGTCGCAAAATGCATGCATGCAGAGTTAATCGTATCTTCGGCATTCATGTGACCGATCAAGCCTTTGCGAGTCCTTTCAACGACCAAAAGGATGCGCCTCTGCGCAATCTTGATCGTGCGCGTGATGACTTCTGGATGCGTAATCTGCTGAACGTGTCGAAGCGAAGTCGAAGTCGAAAGTCCGTAAGGCGCTTTTACTAGTGTCTGTATTCCGTCCAGAGCATTCCGCTGAGCGAGGACAACGAGCAGACGAATGAGCGTTGTCGGGCCGAGGACTTCCTGAGGAGCCACCACGAACGGTGTATCGGTGGTAGAGTCTCCGCTGGGTGTCATGGGATGAGGAAGGTTGTAAACGATCGACGTTTTGTACTCCATCGAGCGCATCATGGCGTCTGCAGTCTTGCATTCTTCCATAGGAGGGCCGGCTTTGACGCAGCATTGATAGGCAACATGCAGGAAAGACTCGATATGGGCGTTTGAGATACCGCATGGTTCTGCAGCATGTGTGAGGGTGGCTATGAGACGCAGTGTAACGACACGACACACTCCTGAGACAAGACAAGTCAGTTCGTAAAACGGAGAATATCATGAATCATAGATGTACCGCGGGCTTCCAGGGGTGTAGATGCGCGAACGCGTGATACTGTTCCAAGAGGACTATTCCCGCCCATCATGCCAACAAACCAGCTACAGGACACGATTAAGTGACACGAAATAGTAGATCGACCTTACCACGTACCTTTCAATATCGCCTGTACCCTCTTCTTCCAGGTGCATCCACACTTCAATAAGCCTTTCCGTCCATTTTGGACGAGAGACCAGGGCTGTTGAAAGCTGAGAGAAGGCCTTCCACTCGAGATCTTTCGATGTCTTATCCCGCAACGTCACGCCAGGAACCGCGTGCATAGGCCAATCAAAGAGCAAAGCAAGCACTTCGCAAGCTGTCTTGCTCACCTGGGTTTCTGGGTAACACTTGGGTCTATCGAGAATAGCGCAGTCGAAGAGAAGGTCGAGAAGATGGGGCTTGCTCCTGATAATCTCAAGGCAGAACTTCCGTGGCCTAGGAGGATATGTGTTCAGAAGATCATGGGCGCCATAAAGAGCGCTATCTGAACTCTGAGCATAGATATGAGGGGCAAAGATCTGGAGCTTTTCTGGCGATTCCTACGGGTAGATATAGTGAGTCTTGATCAGAACGTACATACGACGCTCACATTCTTGGGATCCATGAATAGGTTTATCTGCCACTTCATCGCAGGATCGTCTAGCTGAGTTATGAAATAAGCAGGTCCTTGAAGTGCAAAACCGCAGACAGCCTCGATGAACTCAGCAGCTTTTGAAGGAGAAATCATTTCCCCTAGTAGACCTGCGAATGACAGGGTATGCATGGTACAGGCGGCCTGGTGGCGCATGAGACTCAACTCGTGCCGGAAGTGCTAGAATGCGTGAATGGTCAAATGAAGATACAGACTGACACACGCGACTTTGGGGCATACCTGCATGCACAGCTCCATTGCTCCGTTGTCAATCAGGTTTTCCAGTACGCTTCGCCTCTCGGGTACAGTTCCCGTCTTCAACAGGTTGCAGAGACCGCTCCACGCCCAGTATTGAGCAAGGAACCTCTCCTTCGGTACATCTGGGCCGTGCCACTCTTGACGTGCAAGGCTCAGCATTGTCGGTACTATACCTGCGTCGATGCACGCCACGGCGTACGGGGAGTACGGTACGTTGTTAGCCGTGATCTTCTCTCCCGCTGGCAACAAGTCCTTGTATACGGCACCCTAAGGTTATCCCACAAGAAAATACCATCAATATAACCGCTTAGTCGCGCGGATGTGACATGCACTTACCGCCCATTGTCGAACGAGGTCAGCGTCTTCGCGTGGGTCTACCAACCTCGCGAATACGGACCGGAGTTTCTCCACTTGTTGGGGTCCGGGAGAGATGAAGGAGGTCTTGAACCGTCCCATAGCAGGCGTTGTAGATGGCATGATTCACGGTCAGGGGGGTTCAAGATGATGAATAGGGAGGCTATGAGATTAAGCGGAGACGAAGTAAGACAAAGCAAGGATCTGGCGGCGCTACTGTCTCCAAGCTCTGACAGCTTGACAGGAGCTGGTCCGGACTCCGCCATGACGCTCCCGTTGCGACGTGGTGCTCATTACATGAATGCTTGATGTCTAACAATGACATGAAAGGCTGAGGACACTCTGAGCGTAGCCACACATTGTTATCGCCATAGACTCCATTCTGGACATTCTCCGCTGGACCAAACGAGAAGGTAGCAAAGAGCGCGCCCTTGATTCATTACCACGCCTCACGTATATGCTCGCTGTATGGGATGGTTCAGTTAGCTCGAAGTCGCAGGGATAGTTGCTGGCCACAGATGCCATGTCCGCAAGCAAGAGAGGCGAGAGGCGGTAGGCCCATCCGGTGGTTGCCGAGTAAGGAATCTCCGCAGCACCTCAAATCAAACTCCGATGCAAGCCGGGGACGCAAGTTGAGTACACCGCCGCAGACGACGACCGACACACATCCTCAAGCCCAGCGACAAGCCGCAGTACCATTATGAGTGTGAGTCATGCTTCTATTATGCTCAATCGATGTGCCAGGACGATTTTGGGATGTTTTGGAGGTGTGGGGTGGCTGGATGGGAGTCTCGAGGTTTGGATGACACCCTGGTCAGAGGTTTCAAGGGCGACGGATTGAAGTGAAGCTGGGTGACAAGCTCTAGGGGAATCAGGACGGGATCAGGGCGAGACAATGACCGGTTGTCTTGGGCGCATTGTTCGGGCGTATCGAACACTTGATCGCGTTGCTGAATGCTGCATCCAACAGGACTCGAATTTCACGCGTTTCGTCGAGGTTGGACGAGGTACTTCACTCTGTTAACTTCTTGGCGTAGCGTGTCTCATCCCAACCCCCAGTTGTCCTCCTCAAGGCCGGCCCCTACAATGGCAAGATCGCCGTCATCACGGAAGTGATTGACCACAATCGGGTACGCACTCTTCGTCACCCGCATCGTTCTGACCCCCTTACCTATCATGCGCTGGTTACACAGGCAATTGTCGATGGCCCCACTACCGGCGTTCCCCGCCATGCCTTTCCCTACCGCCACCTCACTCTCACTCCCTTGAAAGTCACCAAGCTCCCCCGCGCCGTACGGACTGGTGTCCTCAAGAAGTACCTTGAGAAGGAGGGTACCGTCGCCAAGTGGGAGAACTCGACGTGGGCAAAGAAGCGTGAAGCGGTGGAGAAGCGGAGAAAGATTAACGACTTCCAGCGCTTCAACGTCATGCTCCTCAAGAAGACCCGCCGGGACACCGTCCGCAAGCAGGTTGCCAAGGCTGGCAAGGCATAGGCTCTTTTTGTTCGTGCTTACACTGGAGCTTGGGTTTGTAGGACAGGAAGGGGCGAGACGCGGGTGGAGGCAAAAACATCGGACGGATGTCCGGACGGCACGCCGCATCACTGCACGTTACTCTTATGCATGGCATTTTGTAGGCCCTATGCACGCGTATATGTCACCATTATAGCATGCATCGCATTACCGCTTTCTGGCTACTCTAAGTGTTAACTAGATGGTACGTTGAAGTCAGCAAATTAAGCGTTGGGGTGTGAGGGGGAGGTATCGACAAATCCGCGTCTGAGACGTTCTGCGTGCCCTTCCGCTTCTACTTCGGCCATTGCAGCTTCACCCCATGCAGGTAGACCGCCCTCGTCAAATGCTTTCTTAAGACGTTCTTCTGCGTCCGTCCATGTCCATGGCTCAGAGGACGATGAAGGCAGTACTAGCGCTATATCAGTTGGGTTGTCCCCGGTCTCGGATGGTCGGTGTATCCGAGCAGAGAGACGGGGAAGACGAGTCAAAACGGCCGAGCGCATCAGTTGAGCAAATTCTTGCGTCTATATGAATGTCAATGCCAAGTGATACGAAGAACCCATGGGTGGGACGTACGTCGCGTGCGCCAACATACTGCATGAGCCCCCATATCGATACCGACGCTGTAAAGACTACCCCTGCGGTCGCGATGGTGAACGCCTTGAGGGTGTAAAGAGGGCCATTGAAGTTATCTAGTTCTCCGCTCTTCGCAGCGAGCTTTTGAGACGCCGCTTCCTCCTCCTCCGAGCCGAAAATGAGTTCACGTATGATGCTTGTGTTCTCGTATGGGCCAGACGCATCCGGTGGAGGTTCGAGGGGGACTGATGATGATGACGCCACTGCCGCGGTCAATGGGGTAGAACTGGAAGTGGACGTTGATGTAGCGAGGGATTGGATTGCGGCGCGGTCACCTCGCCTGGGAGGAGGAGCGGCGGCGGTCTGGAGGGTACGTGCGGAGGCGCGGTGTCGTCGAAGGAAGAAGATGGGCGCGACTATGGCTGCGGTGGAGAATGCTACCTGATGATTAAGAAGGCGGTGGGGACATGTTGGAAGGGCAAGTGTCGTCAATATTTGTAGAGTCACGGCTTACGAGGGAGTAGGGAACCCATGGAGGGACCTTTTGCTTCATATCCGCGAGCGGAAAGTTATCTTTGTCCTTTGACATCGAGTCAGGTGTTTTTGTCGGCTGCAAAGGAAGGGATTTGGGTGGTTCATTTGTGAATGTCATGGAAGCAGTCAGTGTAAAAAATGCATTTGGAGACTAACGGGAGGGGACTCGGAGGATGGATTGATGGATCCGACGACGCGAGCGACGCGTGCCGGAGGTAGACGCGACCCTCGGCACACACATTGATGACACGAATTCCCGCTTGGCGGGCCGAATAGCGTACTTGCTTTCAACCATCACACGCACTGTTGGTCAAGGAAAGACTTTGACTATCGCACATCTTCTGGCGTATTCTTATGTTGGACGAACTCTTCGAAAAGTACAACCTGCAAGCCGTCTTCAACTCTGATGAGCCTCTCCAGTCGCAACGACTCGAGCAAGCGTTGAACGGAATACGTGACCCTGGAGAAGAGCCGCTCGCTGCCTACGAGTATATAGTAAGTGACATTGCACTTTTCAAGGGTCCTCGTGACACCACTACATGCATATCCGTATATGTTATTCTGCTTTTCACTGAAGGAAACCACCAGGCCTCCATTAGAAATCACTTGGTACTAGAACACCGCGACCAGGCAGCTGATTCGGGAACGGGTTTTAGCCCATATACCTTCGCATGCATATCGGCAGGATTAGTGCCAACTATGGTAGAGATCATACGATGCGAGTGGCTTGAACCGCACGTACAGCAAGAGAGGTACCTCGCTTAGCACGCAGCATATGACGTCCTCCAACGTCTGACCGCAGTGGGAGACGTCTCACAGAGGCGGCATCTGACGATTGAGCTGATAAAACAGGGCTTTCTTGAACTAATCTTGCGGGCGAGTGTTCTTTTTTTCATGGGCCCTTATTGGCTTACAAGAAGACTTTGCTTGGTTCTCTAGGACTTGAGGCACCGGCTGTTCGTCATACGTCAGATGGCTATCCTGTCACTGCTCAACTTGACCATAAGCGCCTTCCTGGGAGAAGAGATTCCGTCTTCCGCTGCTGCGGACATAGTGGAAGCTCTCGCTATCTACTCTCTCGAAGGTTCAGAGTACGTCATCAGGCAGATAATCGCCGATACAGCAACAGCGTGGCAGAGCGAGTTGTTCGACGGTCGAGACGGCGTAAGATTGACACATCTGCCGCTCACGACGTTAGACTAACTCCGCATAAAGGCTGATCAGAAGCAGCTACGTCGACTTGCAACAAGGGCTTACGCACAGGGGCAAGATGATGCCATGTCCATAACATATCACTTGATGATCGCATCTTCCCCTCCTCAGCCACGCCTATTCTGCGTGGATATTATCAAGAGAAAGCCTCACTTATTCGATCTGCTGCTTGACTGCGCCTGCTTTGATCGGCCCAAATGGTTCACGCAAAGCGAAATAGCTTCTACAGTTTGCGAGGCACTTGCTTTGCTCTTACGGTGGCCATCGCAACTAGTTCCAGGAGTCACTTCTCCTTTAGACAGCGTATCCAAAACGCGAAGGTGGAAGGACATGCTACACCTGGTGACCGCTTTGACGTCGCGTTCGGATTGGGCGGAGAAGATAACCGAGGTGTGGACAAATGCTCACGAGGAAAGTAGGGAAGTGATTCGAGGGTGAGTAGCGCGCGCTGCTTTTGACATCGTTTTATAACATTTGTAAAGATGCTATGAGTCCGAATTGCGATATTTCGGCCATATGATGGACTCGGAGAAAGATGTCTTAGCTGCTGTTTTCGAGCAATGTGGTGAGTCGAATTCGAATCACATGAGTAACACCTTTGTTTCTGAGCATTTTTCTAAGGCAAATGCGGCGGGTCGATCTTGCGAGTTATCGCCACCCTCAGCCACGTTGCAGAGTCGTGTGGCATCACAAACGTTCAAATTGAGTCTCTCTTGCACATCTGTTACTTTGCGTGCCGTGAACTGAGGCCTAGTGGGGACGACTCCAGTGGACTCAAGACGGCTTTCTTGTCGATAGTTCAAGGAGACGGTGACTTTGTGCGCGGTGATCTTTGTGATGATCCCTTTGCAATTGTTGGCCAACGAATTCTTGGTCCGATCGCGCTCGTTCGCCTTCTTGCGGTTCTCGCACAACGCAATGCACTCGGTGGTATACAGACTCTCCGCAAGGCACCCCAAGGGCTGTCAGCATCTACATCTCTCGAACACATCCAACAGATCACGCATCCGGATATCATCCGACGCATAATCAAGGTTTCTCATCTACGTATGAATGAACGAATGAGAAAAGGTCGCAAGTACTCCACGAATGAAGAAGGTTGCGAAGACTTTCCCTATGCGTGCGTGGCGTTCCAAAGCGTGGCAGAGCTCGCTGCCGCATTGCTCGCGTTGGATATGTACACAGGAGGAGTGTACACGGACGCTATCCGTGGCGCACGGAAGCAGCTAGTGGTTGCTCTGGGTAATGCATCGCAGATGGCACTGAACCTTAGGCGTTACCAGCAAGCTTTAGTGCTGGCACGATGCTCTGTCAACGAAGCTGAAAAGGCATCAGTGGACGACAATATAGAGCCAAGTATTACGGAAAAGAACAAGTGTCGGATGGATCAAGCATATGCGGGGCTAGGACTCTAGGTCGTCTACAGATGGTTTGGTTTTTAGTCACTCAGTGATCTAGATATTCAGCTCCACAACCTGCTGACTGGCCCTCAGCAGACTTATGCGAGAGTTCTATGGGGTTTGGTATATCCCGGTATCGTGATGGCCTCCCAGCGCCAACAATGTTCGCTAAATCATCGAGAAGCCCCTTCTATACACCTGAAATGTCGGATGTCAGCCTAAACCATTCACGCCCGAGAATGACAATCCCCCGGATCCTCGATTGGTCATTGGGGCTGGCTTCGATAACAGAAAAACGTGTCCTTCCGCACGTTTGGGAGCACTCAAGCGCCCAAACTGTCACAGGACAGCGAAGTAATGGAAGCTCTCTGCATTGGTGCCGAAGGTTAATGAACGAGTCGGAGAGATACAGTCCCGCCGATCGCGATCTTCTCATGTACGGCCTTGACTCCCCTGGAGCATCTTCAGAATCCAGTGGCCTGTTATCTGGTCTATGCTGAGTGATGTCGAGTATTCCCGCTTCCGGTTGACTGGGTTGTCTCATAAACTATATTTGAACTGGCAGGCCAATGGAGCATTCACTTTTGCTTTATTCAGTGGAGTGTCACGCTTGTATTGAGGAGTGCCATGGCACACAGGATACTTCCACCAGAGACGATAGAACAAGTGGCTAAATACACTTTTCGTTGGTCCGCATATAAATGAGGGGTTGCAACCGCACTGAACTGAGTTCCATACCATGTATGGTCTTGCCAGCGGTTCATGAGTCAATATCAGAAGCGGCAAGACTTATTAAAGCGTCCATTGAGGCTCCATTGGACATCTGTCAACCCTGGAGCTTCTCACGACAGACTCTCCACTAGATCAATTGCACCCGCGATATAATCAACAAACCTTGCGGTGGTTTACCGACTCTGATAACAATAGATGGGAGTCCCTTTTCCCCGTGGCAGTACGGTACTTTCACTCGAAATATAATATCTCTTCGGTAATTCAATATAACTTCTGTCGAATCTCACGTATGTCGAGTTCCAGGAATATATTCTTGCAATATTCACGCTATTTAGGTTTTCATGAGCGAAGAACGACGCGGATCCCCGGTCAATCTTCAAATCGATGGTAGGAACGGGTATAGTGTTTCTGTCAATATCCATTGCGATTTTATTTCAACAAGTGTCACCAGGTACATTTTCAGTGGCCCAAACGACGTATAGAAGACCCAGCACAAACGTTAAGCGACATGTCACGTTCCTTCATGACCGGGCCATCCCTAATGATAGGCTTATCGTCAGGCTTACGATCGATGTCAAAGTGACTAATGTCGTAGTTAGGTGCCTGGCCGTCGACGAGCAGATCCTTGAGCACGCGTCCGAGGAGCGGCACAAACTTCATCGCCCAGCCGGCGGTGAAAATGACGATGCTCTTATCCGCGTTACTACCTTGTGCGCGGATGTAGCGTTCGGGCACGAAGTCAAGTACGAACATATTGTCCGAGACGTTCGTCTGCAAGCATGTGCCCGCGAAGACCGGAACCGGGTGCGGACCCACACCAAGGACATGCTCGTGAATCCACCTGCGGGTATTTTCCAGGTCCTCCGGAGAGATAACGGGGTAAGCTCGCTGGTCGGGGTCTGCGATGACATTTGTCGCGGTATCGACAGCGATGCGGCACATGTTCGGTGGGCTCCAAGGTACTGCGGGGAAGCCATAAAATAGGTTGGATACCGGCTTTCCGCCGTACGTCGAGTCGCCCTCGAAGTGGAACCACATCTTTTTGAACTCGATGCTCGGGTCGATAGAGTAGTACCCGGAGACCTAACATAGTACACATCAGTCAACTACACTGCTCTTAGAGATGTAAACGCGACTCGCCATCTCCCAGATATTCACATCCAGCGTGAACCCAAAAGAAGGGAATAGGATGTGGTTCACGTACGCGCCAGGGGTCAGGGCGATCTTATCCGTGCGGAAAGCGAACGCGGTCCCTTGTGCGCTTGCGCCCTTGGGGTTACGCATCTCTCCCTCGACAACCCAATTCGCGAATGGCAGTGTCTTCGTACGGTCTACATTAACCCGCTTGACGGTTGCGTAGTCGAAAAGGTCAACGCCGTGCTCGCGGCACAGGCGATGCAAGGTTCGGAGGAGAAGGGGCACATTGATGCATCCGTTATCGGACATGTCGAGGCCGACCCATTTGTCCGGCAGGTTCTGGAATGGGAAGTTTTCTTGGATGTCATTGCGACCGAGCTTGGTGTACTTCAAACCATATTTATCCAGATTTGGCACGGGACCCATCAGAGTACCCTCGGGGCCTCCTGCCTAGCACCCAATTAGCTCCGAAGCGTAAAGCGGACATGCGCGGAGCACCAACTTACACCGTAGTCGGGGTCACCGAAATTCAACAGACCAGACATCACACGCAGGGGTTCGCCTGCCTCCTTCTCCAACTCATCCCAGATAGACATGGATTGAAAGGCGAGGGTGGCCATAAAGTCTTCCGTGTACGCTGTCCGGTACATGCGTAACAAGTCCTAATGGGATGCGTCAGCTTTATTTAAAAATGTTATAGGGCTTGACGATATACCCCAGAGCTACCAGACTGATTGTAGAAGACGGACTGCTCAAGCACGAGTACTTTGCATTTTGCCTTGGCGCACTCCAAAGCTGTTGCAAGTCTGTAGCAAAGTGTGAGCCTACTCGAAATGCCACCATAGTCGCAGTTACTCTACGCACCCTACAGGCCCTCCGCCGACAACGACAACATCGTACTTTGCAGTCAGATTGAGAGTGCTAGAATCCATGGCTGGTCCACCAGCGAGACACGGCGAGAGCAAGAGCTTCTGTATGGATATCCCACGTACCGCGGGGTATGGTGCCGATTAATATGTACAAGATAGATTTGTTCTGATTTTCTGTGCTGCGGTACTAATGGGTTATTGGTAGACGGTGGGATGGTCGGAACAGAAGATGCGAGGTGTAAAACCTCCGGTTTGTTCATATGACTGGCTTGTGTTTGGTGATCTCGACCCCGCAATATGGGGGACACGTTCAGAAGGGTTACAGGAAGGTAAGACTAACGGCGACCAATATGTGACAGGATAAATGGCACGATGAATGATGGTGTGCAGAACGTTCGGACGCCAATCAGAGACATGTGCAAACTATTTGAAAGCGCCCGCAACCTGATGCAGCCTTGTCTTCCAAATGTGGCGATTGATAACGGACTCTGACACGCCCATCATGTACTTTCATCTGAATGAAGGCATGTTTCCACGTTCCGAATTACGCCACAGCACCGGCAGTGATTCACCCCGATGCCACGACGTGTACTATCTCATATCCGGAGATTCTATTCGGCGGAAGAGACGCAGCCAATCCTGTCCGTACTTGAGCTTGAGCTTGCCAATCAATGCCTTTTTTTGGCCGGAACACTGAGCCCCCTGCAGGTTGCCGATGATGGGACCGAAAGAGGGCCTTCAGCTCTATATCTAAGCGGCGTTGTAGTATCCTTGTTGTACAATCTTTCTTCAAACCTTCTGTCGCAAAGAGAGCTTCTCCACCGATTTTCTCCTTCACGCACCTTCCCCCATAGCTTTGAGTAAATACTATCCCTTGCAGGCATGTGTTGTATTCACTCTGAGCTGTTGATGAATTAATAAGAATTTTAGACTCTAGCGACTGTTTTACAATGTCTAACTTCCCTATCGTCTCTTTGCCAAACTTCACCTCCGTGCGCGGGGAGTCGGCAAAGCTGATCGTAAAAGAGACAATCGCTACATATTCATCCGTCCTCATCGATCCCCTGCCCCCGCAAGGCCAACTGCCGGAGCCCGCACCAGGCGCGGTTGTTGAGCCTTCTCCTCTTCCCATCTGCATTGTTGGTGCTGGGTGTGCGGGCCTTTACGCAGCAATGATTCTTGATACGCTTAAAATCCCTTACGAGATCCTCGAGGCCAACGATCGTATCGGCGGTCGTATATACACCCATCGCTTCAACGGCGACGCAGGACGCGACGCTCCCGTCAACGATCCCGCCCGCTACGACTACATCGACATGGGCGCGATGCGATACCCCAACAACTTTTTCATGAAGCGCGTCTTTAAGTTATTCGAACGCCTCGATATGGACGATATCCTCATCGAGTACAAGTACTCAGCGCCTAACACCTTCCGGCTCTACAACGGTGTCCGCCATAACTCTGCAGACCAATCGGACTTGGACATCTTCAATGTTTCCGAGGCCAAAGGAGGGGCAGTCCCCGACGAGTACGTGGTCAAGGGTGTAGACGACGTCTCTTCGGACATCTTCAAGCCCTTCGCTGAGGCGTTTCAGACACTTCCGTTCAACGAGGCATGGAAGAAGCTGGCGGCGTACGATCCGTACTCCACGCGCGGATATCTGTTGTCAAAGGGCTATCCCGATACCGTCGTTGAGTGGCTCGAGACGTTCACGACAGCTACGGGGCTCTACGACGATGCTTTTGTGGAGAGTACTATGGATGCTATGGACTTTGGTTCACCGGCGGCGACCAAGGCCGCCGGAAGCCGGCATGTTGAAGCTAGCCCTGAAGCTAACGCTAAAGCCGCTTACTCGTGGTATTGCATTGATGGCGGCTCGGACAATCTCACGACTCGGATGGCCCAACGGCTCACTAGCCAGCCTCTCATTGGCAGGCGCGTGACGAAGATCGCCAGCGTGCCCGGCGGCGGTGCAATGGATGTCACTTTTGGCAAGCATTTCATTTTTATCAGCGTGTAGACCGACGCTAACTTGTGCGCTCTGAACTCTAGAAGGCGCTGATGCACAGACGAAAAGATACGCCCAGGTCATCAGCACCGTTCCTCTTGGGTGTCTCGCCGCGATCGACATACCCCAGAATGACCTGTCGTACATGAAACGGATGGCGATTCGGTGCTTGAATTACGACACCTCGACCAAGGTCGCCCTCAAGTTCCAGTCACGTTGGTGGGAAGACCCCAAGATCATGGGCGACCGCACGATCAAGGGTGGCGTGTCATCCACCGATTCCCCCATCCGTACCTGCGTCTACCCGTCGTACGGCTTCCATGCCACTGGCAAGGTGTCTGGCGTCATCCTCGCGAGCTACACGTGGGCGCAGGATGCGCAGCGGATGGGCGGACTTGCGCAGGCGAAGGGTTCCGACGCAGATAAGCTCCTCATCGAGCTTACGCTGAAGAACCTCTCAGAGCTACACAACGTACCCGTTGAGAAGTTTGGTCCGCTCCTTGATCACTACGTCCACAACTGGCACAACGACGAGCACGCACGCGGCGCGTTTGCACTCTTTGGGCCCGGCCAGTTTGGCCAGCCCTCAAGCGGGAACAGTCTGTTCGCGAGCATGAAGGCCCCTGGCGCCAACGGGAAGCTTCACATTGCGGGCGAGGCGACGTCGGTGCACCACGCTTGGGTACTCGGCGCTCTCAACTCTGCGTGGCGCGCCGTGTATAACGCTCTCGGGTTGCTCCCAGACGCGCAGACGAAGAGGACGCTTTTAGAGGAGACGTGGGGAATCCCTGATGAGGAGGACTGCAAGGCGTTGCTCAAATTGGCGGTTCTTGGAAATCACAAGGTGCTGTGATTCGTTAAAAAAGGGTGTTTCTTGCGTTTCTTGTCTTTCTTTTCCCCTGATGTCTGCGATGTACTACTATCTCGATGCACGTTCCCGATTTCTACGATGTACTACTACTAGCCAGGATACAGCTTATCTATATCAACATTGTACTACCATGATGTACCACCACAATGCACACCGACGGTAGCATCACTTTGCTGTCGTGCGGAGTTTTCTCGTTGACTCTTCATTATTTAGCTATAATAGCGATTGATTGTAGCCCGGATGTAGGACTAGTAAATGACACAGATGCGCATAGTATCGTAACGCCGGAGAAGAATACTCACTTGCGCCGGAAAGATCAATAAAAGGTGATCAGTGTAAAGACTTTGGAAGTATGTGCGCGACGTGCATCTGTTACGTAGGGTGTTAAGTAGCATTTTCGAGAAAGGTGATGTCAGATCTGTGTAAGGCTGGACGTCGTCGGTCATGGCATACCATAGAACGGGGAGGGTGCGTGGTGATAAAATAACGCATGCTTAGTACCTGTGCAAAAGGTATACTTAATCGCAATTGGCAGTCCAGAACTATATCACCCATATGAGTGAACAGGCTCACCTCTCGGCGTCGAAAAACGTTGGTAGTGGTTAATCCCAGCCGGAGTGATCGCATCCAGATTGTCGCCTCGCGCCCATACCGGAGAGCGCACGCACTCCTTATGAAACGTCTGCATCAGTCTAGCCCTCTGTGACATCTTCCCAAGCTCGCTGCATTATCAGTCACTCACTGCATAGGGAACAACGGGAGCGGATGGGGATCACCCCGCCGGCAACGTGCATGCTCGCCTCGTCGCAGTCGTCTTTGCATTGCTTAGTACCACCCTGCGCCGCTACGCCCGGATGCGTTCTATACCCCTCGGCGCTTCAGATGTGCATCACGCATTCGGTGAGTGAGTGACTCGGATATACTGGCTGGGTTAAGCCGGAGCCGCGTTCATTCATGTATATGGTTTGAGAGAGGCAGGTTGCGCCCTCGGCATCCATGAGCTTATGGCTGTGGAAATGAAAGAACATGTCAATGTTCAAAGCTAGAGCGATAATGATAATGACAGGCGGTTGACTACGGCGGGCGCGAGGGATCCTACTAGAGAAGGGAAAGACGGGGTGCGTCCAGATTTTTGCTTATGAAACAGAAGAGATGGTGGTGAGGAGTGATACTCGAGGAAGCTCCTAACGCACCTTTGGGTGGAAGAGTGAACTCGAATGCACTAGACCTTGGCTCCCTCCACCACACCCTGGTCCCTTCCTTCACACATATAGCGCACCTGGGGGTTGCTCATCTTCGTTGATGACTAGTTATGTGCAAAAGGGTGACTGAACGAAAAGAAAAGACGTCGAGTCAATCAACGCCAGCCCAGCCAGCCAGCCATATGCATTCTACATGATGCTCAAGGCCGTAGGTAGGCTTGCTAGTCACGTGCGCCAGTGCCTGTCGCTGCAAAGGCTGCTTCCAAGATGTACTGGCCGATGAGAATGATGATAGTAGCAAAACGACGTGGTCGGATGTGTAGAGCTTTTAGGCGTCGACGCGGGAAGGACAACTTGGCACTGCCACACAGCAAGCGGTCGCTGTTCGGTTATTCGGGCCGATGAGCTGCCGACAGCTATTACGAGGCAAACAACATCGTCGGTTGGCCTTTGCCTCTGCCATGGCCCTGAACGATCTCGCCATGGAGGAAATGTCGAGGAAATGCATCCCACAGTCGAGAACGAGCTCGAACTCCTCAATGTTCCCTCACTGAATGGATCAGGCCCTATGGTCAGCCGGATCGACCTGTGTTATGCCCCATCGCGCACATCTGGCTCTTCCGTATTCTTGCGGAGCGAATGATCATCAAACTACAATAACAAGTCAGTTGGTCTGCCTAGGAAAGACTCAATGGATCTCGTACAATTCAAGCTCCCTAAAGCGTCTAACGGTTTCTCGCCCTCGGTCTCGCTCGGCTAGATCCACTGGATCACATACCCCGACATCATCACCGTGAAATCAAGCGCTCACACGCGCTCATGGCCACCTAAATGGAGGGAGGTTCGCAAGCAGCAGCAAGTTAGCCAGGGAGACTAAACAACGGTAGGGACCACATGTTTTCCCTGATGATGTTTGCCCTAATGATGTTTCAAAGCACAGCGGAGCTAGCGGGAGCACTGCCTCAGATTGTACTGACCCAACACACGGAGGGACGATACATGGGTGAGATTTGCGGAGCGCGGAGGCAGATCATCATGGCGATAGGTAACCTGGGGACTGCCGCACAAATTTCGTAGATTCTCGAGTATCACGAGTATGCGATGCTGACCGTAATGATTGTAGTGTATGAAGCGGAGAGCATTCTCCAGAGGAAGGCCCATATTCTGATATTGTCAGGAAGGATGGGCGATAGCTTTTCCAAATCAATACCGCGTTACGATCTCATTCGTGAATGTCGCTATAACCTTTCAATATGATGCTCGTAAAACACTTAATATGGTGTGTCGTGTCATTCGTGCGCAGGTTTCTCGCATCTGAAACAAAGTTGATCATTTACATGGGCAGTAGCATAGCTACAACCAACTTTTACAGGCTGTTGCAAAGATGTACGCCTGCTAAAGTGGAGCAATTCGTACTAATCAATCAGCTACGTATATATCCAAGAGCATGCTACCCGTTCCTTTTTTAGATAAGCCTCGCTGAACACTGTATTCTATCATGAATCGTGAGTGTCGTTGTTTTATCTTCTGGGAACTTCCTTCTACTATTAGAGTGAACGCGCGGGCATTGAAAAAACGCTGAGAACTATCACACAGGGTAAGACACTTCACCTTCAATGGAGTATCAGCCTGAGGCTGAGGATCACCAAAGATCTCGCGTCGGGGTCAGATTTGCAATGACGTCCAAAGCCTTCAAACTCTCAAAAGTAGCTGATAATTACATGATCCTGTTTGTGATTCTCTCCGCATATTCTGCCCACAACTCGCTCAAAATTGTGACGAACCTACCTACCGCTGCAATGCTTCATCGCCCGTTTAGCCAAGTACGAGGTAAGACACGGTATATTCCCAAGTCGTCCATGTCTGTATTGAAGGATCATGCCGCAGTTTCTTTCTTGTGTGTAGCTTTATATGACCATGGTGACACGCCCACCTTCCATCAGCTATTTTTTGATTCTGACGCGACTTATCTTGATAGCTTGCTCGCTGTCTCCAGAAGTGGATCATGTCTGGGTGCTCTCGTGAAATTCGGTTACGTCACCCGTTGTCTTACTGTCAATTTTGTTAGTCGCGCCCATACACGGTATCATCAGTGGTATACTTCACGGTGGGTCCGCCCCCACTTACAAAACACTTTTAATACTGCTCATAATCTGACTATTGGGCCTTAGACACGATACTTGGGAATACTATCCCTGATGTAGGCAGCGGATACCGACTTGAGCCCCGGTTTTCTTACTCATTTTCTCAGTATACCTTTCGTAATCGGTGGCATCGAGGAGTGCGTGATGGACAGAAGTACCCTAATCTTATATCAACCATCAACCATGTCGCTTTCTCAGGTGGGACATGCCCTTGGATCTAGGTACGTATCCTAAATAAACGTGTAAATTCGAAATTTCTAACAGAGATTGTCACGTAGCCAAGTTAACATCGACTGTAGGATATTCTGCCACTTATACGATGACCCACATCATTAACGATAATGCTTCTATAGAACCCTGAAAGGTAGTTTTTATCTCGTCTGGTGTGGTCCTAGCAGACGTGCTGATCACGATGGTCTGACTTGAGAGCGAAAGGTTAGACCTGCATTTACTGCTTTACAAGGATGTTTTTTGACGAAACCTCAGCGGCCCACGAGGTAGTGGCTGTCCTTGAGAGGGTTGTAGTCTGGTCTTTGCTGGGGGTCATACAAGGTTTCCTTACTTCGGTTTCGATGTCATCCTCTGATTGATGTCGCAATGTCGCAATTATAGGGATGCTGCTAATCCGCATATTTGCTATCTATAGGTCAAGAAAAAGGATCAAGTGGGCACTCGGTTGTCTCTTTTGTGTTGAGCTGTTTCTAGCTTTACTTGGCACTGTCGATGCAGGAATAACACGGTTTCCGGTGGGTACGTTGACACAAGCTCATTTACATCAAATCACCGCCTGCTTTATTGACATTATTGGTAGATAACATATTGGTCGTCAATATACCAGTTATATTGTACGAGTGTTTGTTGATGGTGCTGTTGACCCGCGCCTTTTTTCTTCACCGTCAAGAAGTACGCGCGCTCGGAGAATATCCCTGGCAGTCGATGATGAATGTCATATTCCGAGACAGTTGCTTTTACTTTTCAATGTGTGCTCAATCCTAATTTAATGGCTTTTCTTATTACTGATCTGACATGATAGCCTCATTCTAGGAAATCTTACAGAAGCTGCTTCGCGATGGTATACCAACATAAATTTAAATGTAAGACTACTTAGAATTTATATGCTCTAACCTGGTCACATGTGGAATAGATTTTCGTCCGCTATGCTCTCTTGTTCTTAGAGACAACAGTTGGTCCACGACTTGCCTTGACTCTGCGCAAGACTCAGTCCAAGAGGGATAGTCTATACTTCATCTCACCAAATCTGCCAATTACGGCACCCGAAGCGAGCCCGAGCTGAGTAAAGGATTTTGACGAGGTTTTCCACCTGTTTATCGATACGGTTATTACTGCTGTAGATATTTTAAATTTCTAAGGTGGAGGCTGAAGAAGTTGTCTTGAAGTCATGTGTGCATCTCTTGTTATTTAAGGCATTCGGTATATCGGTGTAGTTGAATGAACATAAGAAAGCCGGCGACCTGGGTCGGAGTTTGTCTGGAGCTCCGGATCCGGCAACGCGCGGGTCACTTGTGCAGCTCGAGGTCTTTAGCACATCGCCACTATCTCTATCCGCCAGCGTCAGATCAGGTAAGCCGATTCAAGCATTTCCGACCGAGGTCATCCACATCGTAACCATAAGTCAGGATGACCACCTTTAACATCCACCAACCTGAAGATCGAAAGAACCTCTTCGGACGATTAGCTAGCCCTGACGAAAATCCAGCTTTTGTCTGCCTACACCTGGTAGGTGACGTAGCATGAGTATGAGTGTTTCTATTACATACTGAACTGCTCTTCACAGCCCCTCATCAATAGAGAGCTACAAAGCGAAGCTGAAAAGAATAAGAAGAGCGGAGCAATGGTTCCTCGGTTCACAACGTTTGCCCTTGAATGTCTGGATGCCGGTTTGCTGACAACACTGGTGGCAATCATACGCCAGAGACCTGATACAGACGTGAAAGAAAGATACATATCTCAGTTTTGGGCATTTACGTTATTTTCTACCCTGGTACAATCTGGAGATCCCTCTGAACGTCAAGTCCTCACAGATGAGCTCTTGCACCTCGGTTTTGTGGAAATAATTCTCCAGGTAAACCTTGCCTCCGTCCGGCGTGCCCAAACCTGACAATAAAATGATCATGTTCTTGTTTGCTTAGTCGGTGCGACATCCGCTATGTATCATGCACCAAGCCGCAATCAACACCGCGCAGCACTTTGGAATGCTTATCGGACCGAAACTTTCAGCTTCGACTATTGCCGACATCATCGAGACTATGTGTCTCTATGCACTACAAGGACCGGATGAAGCTATGAAGCAACTTTCTGATCCAAAGACCCGGTGGCAAGGCACATTCATGTTGCTCAAGGCAAATGTATAATCAAGCTTATTTCTTAATCTAATAGCTGACCCGTCTGGCAGATCAACCGTGAGACCGTAGGCATATATGCACTACGCTGGTATGGAATTTTTCAACATCGTGCACTTCTAACAGTCGAAGGCATAATGTGCACACGGCAGTCACCTCACTCGCGCAAGAACTGCCTTGAAATTCTAGAAACGAGACCATATATCCTCGACCTTCTTCTTGACTGCACTATGCTTGAGCGTCCTAACAAGTTTATGGAATCTAGGGCCACAGCAATGGCCACCGAAACGCTAGCTATATTCTTACAGTGGCCAGATTTTGTCGTGCCAGGCACTACAACTCAAACCGGCCGAAGTCCAAAATCGCAAGAATACAAATCCGTTACTCAGGCTGTGACACTCTTTACATCATGTCGAGACTGGTCGGAGAAGTTGATCGAGGCTTGGATGTGTATTGAAGAAGAGAGCTCAAAAAAGCTCGAAAGGAGCGCTGTTTCTCTACGCACCAGTAAGGTCAAGCTTGCTAATTTCTTTCGTTGCACAGGTTGTGGACCAAGATGACGAGTGACTGCGGCGACGTACATCCACCAAGCATGGGTGAGTACGGGAGGATCTTCGAATATCGTGGTACGCTGTTCATTTGCCCTCCAAATTCGGTTCTGAAAGTGTTTTGCTTCCTCTCGTAGGTTATTCCCGCATATCCATCCTGCGTTCGATCGCCACTGCAACACATTTTGCAGAATCCTGCGGTGTTACAAATGTTCAGATTGAATCTTTCATGCACATTGCATACCTTTCCTGTCGTAATTTCCCCTCCATGGACGAAGCCCTTGCCTCGCCAGAGCTTCGTGCATTTATGCACGAATCCGGTGAGAATGTTTCAGATTTATTTTTTACGGATGAAACAGCGTCCTCCGCTACTCCATTTGCTATTGCGTCTCAGCGCATTCTTGGCCCAACTACGCTTGTTCGCCTCCTTGTCGTTCTAGCGCAGCGAAATGCGCTGGATACCATCCAAACATTACGAAAGGCGCCAAACGGGCTCAGTTCCGCGACTTCGCTTGCTCAGGTACAACAGATCACCCACCCAGATGTTATCCGCCGTCTCATCAAAATCTCGCACAAGCGCATGGCCGAGCGGATGGAACACGGTCGGAAGCGCTCGAAAGAAAACAAGACTGGACACGATGTCAATTTCGCTTGCACGGTGTTCATGAGTGTCGCGGAGCTGGCGGCCGCATTGGCCGCGTTGGACACGCACACAGGTGGGATGTACACGGCCGAAATCCGTGGCGCACGTCGTCAGATCGTCGTAGCATTGGGGAATGCAGCACAGATGGCGCTTAGCTTACGACACTACCAAAGGTCATATTCCTTGGCATTGGCTGCTGTCGCCGCTGCGGAAAACATACCAGAAGAAGAAGGCCTAGAAAGTGAGGTGGTTGAGAAGAACAAGCGCCGACTTCACCTGGCAGGTGTCGGACTTCAGCGACGCTGATCATTCCTTGGTACTCTATGCGTGTTTCTTAGCGGTTAACCATACTAATGTATTTCAGTTTGGGCTTGGGACAGGTTTTCTAGAAGTCCGGCGTTGTGTGACTGAGGGGAGAGTCCAAAGAGTATTCGTATCATAGCTCATTTTATAGCAACTTGCACACTGTCTTGTGACTACCGCCTTCACATCTGTCTCAGCATGAGCATAACCGTTTATACTTTGTAATGAGACGCACCAGCCAAGTCCAGAACGATATCAGCCAGGTTTGTGATCTGGGTTCCTGTCTTCGTAGAATGAGCACTTTGAAAATGCCACGAGTAAACTGAACATACAATTCATCATCAACCCGTGACCCAGACACAAAATCCATCTCATGTACTGGAACTAGAGGTATACGCGTCACGATCTTGGCGAGTACATACAGTACGGGGAAGAGAATGATAGGTAGATAGTTTGTGACAAACGTCGCGGTGGACCATTGACCACGAAGAAATACCTCGTACCCGCTAAACTGAACGTAGTCGTGTCAGCTTGTAGACACCATAGTCACAAGGAAGCACACTTACAAGCATGGTAATTCCGCAGGCGAAGATAGCCCACCACGATGCGAAGGGCTGTAAGCGAGACGAGTATGGGAGTGACCGCCTGTCTATCTTCTGAGCGCGAATGCCTGCGTAATATCGCACGTATATGATTCCTATCGCGCACCAACCCCATAACCCGCATGTCGCGGTCATGCTTGAAAACCAAGTGAAGACCTCGCCTGAGCTGGCGCTCGTTGCCATGTACGAGAGCAAGGAGAATGCAGCGGAGAAAATGACAGAAGCAATGGGAAACCCCGAGCGTGTTGTACGAAGGAATATTTTGGGCGCGTTACCCGCGGCAGCAAGGCCATCTATAACCACAATGTCAGTCGGGCGCTGTGTGAGTGAAGCAGTACTCACATAGCCCGCGGGAAGCAATGTACAAGTCACCTGAGGCTGCTGACCACGCGGACGTTAGAAAGGCTACGTTAATGACCTATACTCATCATCGTCAGAACCTAGACAGACACAAAGATGATGTTCACACACCGAAGGTAGTCCCTTGATGCCAGCGCGATTTATTGCTATCACGAACGGAGAAGCGGACGCGTTCCCGGAGTCCAAGTCTAGCAATGGCTCTGTGGATGGTACAAGAAGGCCTATCACGAAAACGCTTCCGATGTAGAAAACAAGAATCCGTGCGTATACACGACGGACGGCCCGGGGAAGGTTTCGTCGAGGGTTTTTGGCCTCAGCTGCAGCTATCTGAACATCGTCATTCGTACCGTTTCAGGAGGGAAAGAACATAGAACCATACCGCAACGACCTCAGTACCAACATAAGAAAAAGCCGCTTGAGTAACCGCGGCCGACCACCCGATAACACGCCCAAGGTTTCCTTCGATCCCTTCGTACTGCACAAATGGGCCAGGGTTGCGCCAGTATTTAAACCCAAGGCGCTCGTGGTTCGGCCCACCGCCAAGATCAAGAACTATACCAAGTATGATGAGGCCTACGATTGTGATCACCTTGATAGAGCTATGGAGAGTCAAACGTCGAGATCGAGCGAACGTAGAGATACAGCAATGTACGTACCAGAATATGAACTCTGATTCACCGTACACTCCTACGCCTAGCATGTTGATACTGATGGCGATTACCAGACACATCGTGATCCAGACGGCGTTGCTGACGCCTGGATGCCAGAAGTCGATCAGTGTTGCCGCTGCAGACAACTCGGCTACACGGGATATAATTTGAGCGCCGGGTAGGTGCTGAGTGGCTACTCCATTTACACACCTGGCAAAGTTAGCTTAAAAGGATGAGCACAATGAAGCGACCGGTTTGGTACGGACTTACCACCCAACCATACCAGAACGACCACCCGAGTGCGAAGGAAAACGCTGGGTCAACAAAACGTTCTGCGAGCCGAATATGTCCGCCTGCGATAGGGAGGAAAGAGATCATCTCTCCGACAGAGACCTCGAACAACATCAACTCGTGGTGCACTAAGGATGTTTGAAATATAGACGCACCATTACACAAAAACAAATGCTGCCAATAAAGATGTACGCGAGCAACATGCCCACTGGTCCCGCGTTCTTCAAAGCCGTTGCGGATCCAAGAAATAGGCCAGTACCGATTACTCCACCCACGCTAAGGCGATAGAGGTTATGACTTCTGTTGATTAGCGACAACTTGCGCGTGCTCACCTGATCATAGCGATATGCCGACTCTTCAACTGACGGTTGAGCCTCCTTTCAACGGGAGATCCATCCGTGAGGTCCGACTGTGAGTTATGCTCCACAGGCAAGCCTTTTTCTGTGTCTTTGGCGTTCATCTGTTGGTCGAAGACGCGGGAGAGAACATGCATGAAGACATGCTACGGGTGTGTCCAGTGACATAACATTCGTTCCAGGAGTTATTTTGGGAGCCTTATCACGGTGGTGCGGAACAGCAGATAAGTGTCTAAGGTCCCAGGCTCAATCCGGCGTCAGTTGTTCTCCGGCCACCGTTATCTGAGGAGGCAAACTCGCTATAGAAGTTACGCGGGAAGCCGGCGGGAGCATCAGTCGGTGTAAAAGTGGGCAGCGGACCTGATTTAATCAGCACGGTTTTGAAAGCTCAGATGAAGCGTGAGTGACGCACCAAGTTTCTTTCCTTGAGCTGTCTAAATGTTCATCATCAACTTCACCCCAGCTTTATCGTATGATACTACCATCTGTCGAGAGCCTCAGCTCGTGATTAACTTCCAGCAACCTTGTATTCGCGCTGTGACATTGGAGCACGACCTGAAACTTGCATGTAGCGTAACTAGCTGTGAGCATGTTGTGACCTATGGCACGGTCTGATGATTGATGCTGTCGGTATGAGCGCGACTTTAGAAGGAGGTAACACATGCTGAAGGTAGTGTTGCCGCGGTTCGGGTGCCCAGTGGTTCGAACCAGGTTTAGAACCAAAGCTGTGCTTGAACTTGACCGAACCAGACCCTCGTAACCAGTCAGTCTATACGGGTTCCAGCCAATGGGTTTAACTGCGGACTCAGTCCCAAGACCGGTCCGAACCGCTGCTAGTTAGGGGTCTGCCGCGTGTAACCTTCTCCGCACCTCGTTTTCGTGGATGTTCTTTGTGTTCTCCCTTTTCTGCATAATTGACCTCCCCTTCTTGTCAAACCTCCGTTGCATGAGGCACTGGTTGACTTTTTCCAGAAATCAGGGTAACGGTTTGCTGAGAGAACAGTGCTGCGGTGTGTTCAATGTTTCCACCTCACTGTTGACTATGAACATCCTTGCACCAATAACGTCTGAAAGATAAGAAACATTCGTCACTGTGTAGGTCATGAGACAAGACTCGGATCGAGTTCCACCATTCCAGAAATCCCAACATAGCATCCCATTTGTTCTATGACATACTATCAATTCACTCACGGGATTCTCACTAATATGCTTGGCAGCAATGTTTCGTAACACCTGCCCCTGTAGGTCTGGTGCATCATTAACGCTCATCTCTGGCACACTGTCTTGCACGACGTTTTTGTTCCATATTAGGACGACGCCCAGTGGCCCATTCCTCTAGACGCTCACTTTCCTATTCCGTCGCACGTCCGCCTTGCATCACTGACGTATTACTCGTTTGGGAGGTGCACATCATCCCCCTGATAACAGCAGCTGCAGCCGTGAAGGCTCCCGCACGGGCTAGCCAGCCCATACTCCATGTTATTGAAGTAAGTATATATCAAATAAACTACAGTATTGTGAAGCTTGGCTGAGAAAAATCAGCAACCTCTCCCTGCGCGTGGGCGGTTGGTTTGCGCGTCTACATGAAAAAGAAGCTGAGAAGTGTGATGCAGGACTGCTTACCCTTTTCGTCTAGTATCCTCGTGCAACAGCGTTATCCGGTTTGGGGTCGTTCTCAAGGTCATATTGCATCAGAGCTGTTACTACTTCTGTGTTGCCTGATAATGCAAGCGCGTCACACATTTTTGGAACGTTTCCATAATGCATGTCTCCATTCTCACCTAATGAGCGTCGGATTGGATGACCCTCTTGAGTATCGTGTGATGCAACGACCACAGCCCAAAGCGGTTGTGTTTAACTCATAATGCAAGACCATCTACCATCATTGCTCAAGACCGTAGCAACAGTAAGGTTATATTGAAGTTGGCGCGTCGGCACACATGATTGGCCTTAGTGTTGTTCTTGGCTTGGCTTGGCCTGAAAGCCACTGGCTTTGGCTTGGCTTCAAGTGGCTTTTGGCCTGACCAAATCTCGAGCCAAGCCAAAGTTATTGGCTTGTGGCTTGGCCTTGGCCTGGCTTGGCTCGAGCCATGGCTTTTGTATGGTACTTTAACTACACTACAAATTTACTTACAAATTATAGTCAAATGCTTTAATTGCAGGTTAACCATTGTATAGTGGTAAATACCATATGCTTGTGAGCAACTGCTTTTAAATATGCTTGATATGAGCCTTGTTAAGTCCTTATGAGAACACTTGGTTATGCCTAAACACCTGACTATGAGGAAAACATGGTAATCAATCCTCAAGAAATCACCTAATCCTATAATACAAAGCTAACTCTTAACAACACTAGCTCAACAAAACTAACCATAGACAGAACTAATCCTTGACAGGGCTAACCCTTGACAGAAATAACATTTAACTGAAATAGTCCTTGGTAGATCATAAGTTTCTTGTTAGCAATCCAAATAAACATGAAAGTAATGAATGAGGCATAATTTCTGTTAAGCACTAAGGAGTATATTGAATATCAGGCTTTCTACTAAGCACTGGTAGTACAATAGCTATATCAAAGATAAGGCCTATTCAGGATTATTACTACTACACATTAGTTTTTTTATAAAGGTTAGTTCTTCCAAAAAAAACAGATTCTGTCAAGAGTTGGGTATGTTTTGAGAGACAGCATAGTCAAGGATCACTTCTGATAATTAGTAGTCTCATTAAAGACTAGCCTAGTGCAGGGTCAATCACCATTGATGAGAAATTAGGCTTTAAACTATTTAGCTCTAGAGGATGCCCTCCCAACACTGAATTTCCCATGATCACAAACAAGTGTGGTCTGCAGATTACACAAAGATTAGATAAAGGATAGGTGTACAAGGTTTACAAAAGTATCAAACAAGCTAACATCAACTGTAATTACTGATATATAGTATTATAATAAGTGTCTAACAAAGCCATGGCCTATTGGCTTGGCTTTGGCCTGGCTTGGTGGTGAAGCCAGGCCAACAATGCTTGGCCCTGTACTGGCTTTGGCCTGGCTTGGCTTGGCCTGAAATCTGGCTTGGCTTGGCCTGGCTTTGGCTTTTAGGCCAGGCCAAGAACAACACTAATTGGCCTATATAGCTGTACGAAGACCTTCAGCCTGGAACTTTGGTGTAACGGTTGGCGCTCCTTATTTGCACAAACCCATTCGAGGTCGTACGTTCAAGTCTCTCCTGTGCCAATATCATGTAATATAGTTTTTTCTTGTGAATGTAGCACTGAATTTTTCCTTCTTGTCACTGCGAGACATAACTCCAGTTCACGCGCGATTTTGTTGTATGTCATAGAGAAGTTAGATACTATTGTATAGCAATGGTAATCACATAACGTATGTCTTATCCATTATGTAGTTCTACTAGACTCTAGATAAGGCTCCCACAACGCTGAAAAGCGAGCGGCAATGGAACGCCGAAGGGCGGCTTGTCGAAGTCCATAGGCAATCATCCCTTCTTCCGCAGCATCATTAGCTCCCGTCGACGCTTCGTTCACACGCTCTTCCCACCACGACGCATGCCATTCGAGGAAGCGAAGTACGCGGCCCATTTCCTCTTGCAGGAGCTCTACCTCTTCGGACCAGCGATGGGCGCGCGCGCGAGATTTGCACCACTGCACGCGAATATCTGAGACAAGATTGAGAAAAGACAGATGGGCCGAGGGTAACCACACACCTTCTTGTATGTTCTCCTGAGTTTCGTTATCGTCTACTACTCCGCCCGCGAAAGTTACCCGCCAGATCCACGTCATCTTGCGGCGGCCCTCCGACACAGACCCAAAATCCACCATCGGGGCGACGTCTTCGTCCTTGAGCAGACGTATGTCGCTGGGTAGTGGCTGGCGAGTGTGACGTCCGAGTGAAACAAGGGCTAAGTATGCCGCTCTATATGTCCTACTATGCATCCGTATCTTGGCGCCGTTAGCGTCTATGATTTTTTGCTGTCGGGTGTTCTGCTCTTGACCTCGCAAGTTCTTGTCTTTGTACTTGTATAGCCACTCCCCATACTGAAGCGAGGAGCGGAGGCGCGCTAAAGCGTCGTGGGCCTGTCCAATTCGGAGGTCCCATTCGATAGAGTAGAAACGAGTAGGATAAGCGTGAGGTCGTGGCAAGTTAGAAGGAAGGAAAAGGTCCGCTATTTCGGGGCGATCTGCGGAGTGAGCGGCGTTGTCTGAATGGGCGCGAAGGGAAGTTGCGGCAGGCATGTAGACCGACTGGGCAGCAAACCAATGATTAAGTTTGAGTCGCAAGCCGTTTGATCGCTGCTGCAAGGCCGCCAGTTGCGAGTCTTCGGCGTGCTGTCCCAAGCTAACGCGATCAACACGGAGGCGACGCCTGCAGTAAGTGTCAACTATGCTGTAGCAATAGTATTTAAGCTGTGTCGCCACTTACTGTTGTTCTTCCAGGTCTAACGCTGCGCTCACGAGCGAGCCTGGAGTAATCTCAGAATGAGGAGACAACCCCGGGTGCTTGGCGAGCTCTAGTGCATCCTCTCTGGCGACCTTTAGACGTGTTTGTGGTAGTGTTGGCGCTATATTCAATTTAATAATATCGATAATATTAACAGCGATAGCACTCACACTTTGCCTTGGACTCAAATGGGTTTGGTTTAGAATGGTCGTCCTCCCAGGTTTGCACTTCGTCGGTCCAGGCTTTGAGTTCTACTTCGGGAATATTATCCTCCATATCCGCTAGCACCGCGCCGTGTTCTTCTGACATCTGGATGGCTTCTTTGATCTTCCGCGTGAAGAAAGCGCCCAAGCCGACGAGCTTTTTCCAATTCCAGTCTCCGAAGAAGTCGTCGAGGGTGTCACGGCGATTTCCGGGACCCATCTCTTTGGTGCTCGAAGCTACCGGGTTAATGTTCGCCCAACCGCGCTCAACGCCCTCGCCATCAGTCCTACCAACCCCAGGGGTGAAATTGAACGAGTACGAGATTTGACATTTGGCGATATGAGCCGACAGGTGGAATTTAGGGACTAAAAACTCGAACTCGCGTCCAGATGGGTCAAAACTGAGAAATGTCGGAAGGCGGGAGACACGGCTCCATAGCTTGATCCACCACTGGCAGGCAATGTCGTAAGACGTATTTATCCTCTTGACAAAAGTTCCGCGAATGCTCGAGAAGTAAAGATAATCCATGTTTGCGTATCTGATTAGGCAATTAAACATGAAATGCGATTTTTGGAGTGAGCTAGTACGCACTTTTCGCCCTTCTGGAGATCCCCGCATCCGCACGGCATTTTCATGTTGTGACGCGCGCAGTCGATGGTTCCCAAACCGGTAGCAGCGAGTCCTTGGAATGCCTTAGAGTCAGCCATGTTAACCGCCTTATGGCTAGCACAAGAGCTTCTCTATGGTGCTAAAGTCAGTCGGAAACAAATTTTATATGACAATGTCAACGTACGTCTTGGGTTTCTTTGGCATGCATAGACAGAAACTCCTTATAAGGCTTCTCCTTCACCATGTATGCAACTCCGTCACCGAGGCTCGGGTCCGACTCTTCCGAAGAAACATGACGGCGTTTAAGCCGAAAATTAGCGTCGATGGCAAGGAACAATGCATTCAGCCAGCTATGATAGAGGAAGTTTAGACGGGGTGAATTTAGACTAACATGGAAAATTTACCGCTTTGGCTTCGGTGCGTTCTCCCATCCATCAGGCATGTTCTTGCCGGGATGAGGACATGCGGGGCATAATACAGCGCACGCGCCCTCGGGCGTCTCATTGAGTGAAATCTCAACATGTCCCCTACCAGAGCGCTTCAACATTTTGAGGTGGCGCCACTCGCGCACCATGCGCATAAATGATTCGTAGCGGTCCTATAAAGAAAAAGTTAGCAAAGAGGATCGATTAAACGAATTAGCCAGATATCCATTGCTCACCTTGATTGATACTAGCCCCGCGTTATCGGACCTCCTCGCAAGTGCGTGATAAGCCTCATAGGCAGAAGCTTTAGACTCGAGAGAAAGGAGCTGGAACTCTTCAAGAAGCCTGAATGTTGCTGCGGTCTTCGGCTCCGTAACAGTCGCTGGAAATAGCCTGGCACGGAGAAGCTGCCGATACTTCGAAGCTGCCGTTTCACAGCCGCAATAATCAAGCCCCACTTCGTGTATCCCGTGACTGTCCATCACTACGAAGTCGTCGTCGAAGGAGCAGACAGGGTTGACACAAGTCCGGCCAGGACTATGGCCAAGCTGAATGCGTAACCCAAGACGATTTAGAGAGCTTCTTTCAAAGTACTTGCCGTTCCAATACTACTCCGCTCCCAGTCAGTATCCGTCAGTCTAACCGTAATAAAATGCGCACCTTGATACGATGGAAAGGACTAGTAGTGTGGTTCTTGACCATACACTCTCGGCACCCCATCGCACCCATCAAACAGTCTTCGCATCGAAAAGCCGGGTTGGCGCCGGAGCACCAATGACATGTCAAAGAGTCCTTGAAGTCACCGCGTCCGTCATGGCGAATCAGCTCTTTTAGAAACGCCGCTCGATACTTCAACCAGGCGAGCAAAGGCCTTCCCTGAGACAAAAGTCAGTGAGTAAATCATACAGGAACGGCTTTAATATTACCGCTGCTGCACGCCTCTTCTGAGGTTGCTCCAATCCCTCTATTGGCTCTGATTCTGGCTCCATGTCATTGGGCTCTGACAAGAACGGAGCAGGACCGGAAGCCGACATGTCCACCGAGTCCGCATCCTCATCCAAGAACGCCTCTGTAGCTGTGCCATGGTCATAGACCGTAGGATCTCCACCTTCCATCGCCTGATCAACGCGCTCGGGAGGTCGCTGAACCGAGACACTTGAGGTTTCGACCCTCGCTTTGCCATGCTCGTCGACAGAAAGCGACACATTCTGATGCGTGTTGGTATTCTCACCCTTGGCAGCTGCTTTTGAAGATCGTTTGAAAGCATTGGCTGCCTTTGTGGCGGCACGCTGAACTTTTTTGGGTAGAAGGAGACCTTTGGGCTTGTATCAGAAAGCCAACAACGCGCGGATGAATCTGGTTTGCGTACCATAACCTCCGCCACCCCTCAGCCTTGCTGCAAGGCTAGTAGCGAACATACAGCGCGCAGTAATCCGCCAGAGCTGCTTGAAGGTGCTACAACAGATAGCTCAGAGATACGTTTATATACTGTGGATATTCAAGTGCCCGTTACCTTTTGGCAAGCAGCGCAATCATGAAACAGACGCGTAGCCCGCCTCGGTCTTAGTCCCGTAATATGACCGGGGTGGTACACTTGCTCGAGAAAACAAGGAGCATAGAAGAATCTTTGATGGAGAATTGCAATGATGGTTCGGTTCCCTTATCTTACGTGATGTGCGCTTGGCTCATATGTGATTATTCAATGGTTTCTATTGCTGCGGAAAGGTCTAGAATTCATGTTAAAATAGATATGTTCAGCGAATCAGCGAACATTACATCAGTGTTCTAGCTAATCGGAAGAGTGTTGTCCAAGAGAAATCATAGAGTAAAGAAATTGCCCCTCTGCAACAGGCATCCCATATCTAGACAGCCGCAGAGCATAGGCATACGCCTTTGTGGATTCGCTCATCCCCGGATGCGTACCACCCGACTCGGAGGCCAGTTGCGCATCACTTATACGTCTGATGCCCTCTATCTCGTTTAACTCGTGGCATATGGATTCGACTGACGCCAGGTCAAAACCGTGTGAGAGCAGGTAATAATCAGCATACACTCCGAGGGATGCACGTAGCTCGGCACTCCGTGGGTTATCTTCGGGTCTCTGATTGATGACTGCAATAATCCCCCGGAGGTTTCGAACGTGGGTATACGCGATCGGAGTTGGTTCCAGCGATGCTCTGAGGAGATTGGGGGTCGGAGAAGGCATGTATGCAAGCGGAAGGGGAATAGGGTGGCCTTGAGACGCTTCCGGTGTTTCTTGTGCCTTTGGTGTTGGAGAACGTAAGAAATCGAGACGCACATACCCTTGATTGGGTCTAGACGCACTTGGGGGTGGTGATGGCGAAAGGGAATCGAGACGGATGGGCTCTTGGCCCGATCTAGTAGATAAGTTAGGAGTGGGTGAAGTCGGAGAACAGGGTATCACACGAGCAGGCGAAGGAGTGAGGCGCAGCAGCTGCCGCTGCCTTTGCTCAATAGTCACTAACAATCAACATCACAGTCAGTATGTTATTTGAAGGAAAGGAAGAGCTGACGTACAAGGCGTGATCCCTGCTTTGTCACTCGCATCTGGTATGAGCGACAGATCACCCTTCGTGATCATGAAAGCTAGCGCCTGACGGAACGTTTTGGTCACTGCACCCTTGGGGTATTTCAGAGTCTTCATCCTATCAATGGCGTCATCTCTGACGCATTGTCAACCAATCAGGTGGGGTACAAACAAATGAACTCAAGGACTTACTTTGAGATGAATATTCCGACGCGCGAGGCAACTGTGACAGCGTAGAGCTCGCTTCGATAGACAAGCAGATGAGGAATGGTTTGGCTCTCGTAGATGGCGCTGATAACGCTCCTAGTGCTGGGACGTGAACCGAGTGGCTCAAAGATGGCTTGGAGTGTTGTAGAAACATTTTCCGACTCAGAACGCGAGCGACAGTTGATCGGAATGGGCAGTGGATCTGAATCTCGGCCAAAGTAGACGTAGGGACTGTCAATGCAGGTCAGCACTGTTCCGGCGTAGAGTAAAACACTACATACCATTCTTTCGTGATAGGGCAATTAGTACCGCTAACAAGAACCCACTCGGGGTTGAAGGGAGCGATCTTGACACGAAAAGAGGACATGATAAGTACAAGTGTGAGGTCTTGGAGATGACTCTATCCCTATCAGCACAGCGCTCGACGCCGTCTCATTTGTACGATAAAGTAAGCGCCGAAATTGTGACGCTAATTGACGAAGATGGACAATACACAGACAGAGCTAGCAAGTAGAAGCCGTGACCGTGTTGCATCACCGGCACCGCACCTGAATGGGATGCCCCTTTTTGGCGAAAGGTAGTCTTGTGCATCACTGCACCTGAGCAGAACACCCCTTTTCGGCGAAAGCAGTCTTGCATAGTCAACGTTTACCGAAGGAAAAGGTGCTGATGATGCACAACGTTGACATCCGAGGACTTGCTAAAATCAAACTTCGCGAGTTGCAAGAATGAATTTCCCCAATAAGGTACAAAGCGCAAGATATCTACGAGCGCCATCGCATACAATGGGCTGACACAAATGCAGTATTTACATGTCCTCACAGGGGTGGCAGCACCACAGGTGCGTCAGTAGAAGGGGATGGAGGAGGCGCCCGGTTATGAGCACGGAACCTGTTGCGGATGTCTGCAATGTTGCAATGGAAAGGCGATCCCCCAGGAGTGCGAGAGCGGTTGCGAGTGCGACGGCCAATACGGGGGCGAGATGTCCGGCCATACGGCCCCCAGCTGCAAGACCTACATGCTTCGATCCTTCCCGTACGGCGAAACTCAGCGTAGCTGTCGAGCCAATGCTTGATAAGCTACAACGATAGATGTGAGTCAAACCATCTTCGGGAACAGACCTCGTACTCACAATTATCTCCCAAACAAGAGCCTCGGACCACTCATTGGCCGACAAACCAATCCGTGGAACAGGCCACCGGGCGAGCCAGACGTTGTCCACATCCGTCAGGAAGCGGGATTGCGCCCGTGCATCGCATGTCCTGCGAACGGTCTGCCACCGCGTGTGCACGCCCTTCAAGTATTCATCTTGCTCTGGTGTAGTCCAAGACATGAACTAAGGAAAACGTTTATAGTTAGCAAGCTGCCACTGCTGACGTGAACCCCATAGGCGAGACCACAAACCATGGTGAGAATGCAGCAGCGATAGAGTGGACGTGTCACCGAGGAGATGATAGTCGAGAATAGAGAAGATTTTGGGCGACGTACTTGTGATGCACCAGCCGTCCAGCTTATTTAGGAGCCAATGCCTCGTGCATAAGCTCATTGATGCATCGGCGGAGCTTCTTGGGCAGCGACTCACCTAGACCAGGAGCACGAGTTTGAGCTTGGAGCGAACTTCAAGCTTCAAGCTTCAAGCTTGAGCTCGAGGATCAAAGCAAGAACTCCACTTGAATGCCTTGTGCACGAGCTGATCGAAGCTTGAACTCTTCTCCTCAATATCTCAATGCGGCCAGAAGTCCGCGCGGAGAAGTCGGGTAGTGAGCGAGACATTTCTCACGCATCATGATTATGGTAAGTGCATCGCATCCTGGAGAGCAGAGTTCGCTTCGGCATTGATATGAAACGGGCTGCGCTGGGGCTTGCTTCGACGTTACTCGAGTTCCAAATAAGTCATAGAAGCGACATCGACGGGAATGTTGAAGATGAAGTGGTCTGACAAATATATGAAATGCTTTGCCCAATTGTAGCGTGTTTCCGCCCTTTGTCCGCGATGCCCTTTGTCCGTGATGGTGCGCTAGGATCAGTTGAATGACGGAGGAGTGTCATAATGGTAGTACTGCTACGCAATTGAATGCTTGCTTCTGTTTGAAAGCTCTGAATGGATATCCATTTCCCCTTTCAGCATATGTTCGGGCAACCACTGGCGAAGACATTGCATGAATGACAAAAGACATTTGGATCCAGTATTGAAGTTAGCAGTTCCACTACATATGCCTATACGTCTTGACAGTCATAAATCTATCTGCCAGTAATGTTAACGGAGCTCAGTGATTAATTATGCAACGCCTGTGTGATATACATCGCAAGTCATAAAAGTCTTAAAAACCTCTTAGCCGTCTTTGAATCGGCCGTTTGACATGAACTTTGATGATATATCATGGTCACAGAACCACTGAAAATTGAAAGTTTGTTTGAAGAGTTCTGTATTGTGAATATACTGACTCAAATTTGGGGTGACATGGAAGATATAGCTAAGCACTATAGCTAGTATGAATGGACTGCACGACTCATGAGTGCTACAGTTGGACATTGGCACTATGAGCTCGAAGGGAACATCCATTGCTGTGATGTTAACTGGTGTACATGTAGCAATATTTCAAACGACACAGTGCATGTCATACACAGTTCTACTATCTAACAAATACACTGCTTCAAATCTCTTCTTTATAGTATGGCATAAACGATATAAGGGCTGCTCATGGATTCAGCCCGTGACTCATGTAACTCAGTGTGCACTATGGATTTGAAGAGAACTTGAGTATCTCAGTCGACAGGCTGTGAATGTGATACACAGAAGTATATCCACCTGTGAGAACATGCATTCAATTCAGAAGTATTGATATATTAGCGCCTTTTATTCCATGAGAGAATGAATGCATGCACGACATATGCAAAAACCTCATAAAACCATGATAAAACTCTTAATAGCCCCTATCTGATTTCGAAGCTGTCGTGCGGTTCATTTAACAGCTTGCCATTCATATGCAAACCAAAAACGTCCACGTCAGGCCTCAGGGGTGTAGCAGAACCTGATCTTAGCAATACCCTCCACTGTTGACGTCCTCTGCTGATACTATGGGCCGTCCCAAGCTGTATTTTACAGAAGAGGATCGCAAGGAGGCGAGAAAGCGTTGGAATGCTACGCACTATGCAAGGTATAGTGCAGACCCCTTCCGTTTGAATGGTGTTCTCACATAGGACGGAAGACGCAAAGCTACTGGTCGAACTGGTAGAGTTTCGAAGACAAAAAAAATCAGACAAACGTACCACAAAGTCGTGAGTTTCTTTATCTTGCTTGGTGTTTCGTGCCTATGAACTCATTGAAAGACATCGAAGACGCCCAAACTTGAAGCAGTAAGATACTCTGCCATGGCATTGCATGCGACCAATTGCCTGATGCTAACCACTTCACGTCAAAGATATCAACGCTCAGGACCAGTAGAGGTCAAGCATGACTTGGAAAGCGACTATCTACTTTGTAACAGAGACAAGATAGACCTCGGCGAAAGACTGTAAGCTCACCTCCTGAAAATCAACGTCTCACTGGCATCTGACGGCTTTGATCAGCTTTGAATGTGAGCTCGAAGAAAGTCTGTACGTGGTTCAAACTTTACAGAGCGTGAGTCCGGCAAACCTGAATAATCTTGAGCAGGCTGGAGCAGGCTTTGCTAGAGAAACTACAACAAATTGAGGACTGTACGTGTCATTACATTTCAGGATATTTCGTTCACTCTAATATCTATATTGGCCGCAGCTAAGCAACCAGAAGAAAAGCAAGCCTTCTATAGGTACGATATTGATTCAAGTCTGGTCCACGGAATGTCTTGTAACTTACAATACAATGGCCAGTCCACGTTCAAGCCCTGCCTATGAATCCATAGGCCACAGGCACCTCTTGAGCCCGTCTCCCATCCCGCGTCGCTCATCCAGCACCCCACAGGCCTCTAATCGATTTACGGGCGCGTCGTTAATGGCCCACCATCCCTCAGAGGCATTCAGCAGTCCGATCTGGCCCTCGAGCGCTTCGTCCAGTCCGAGCAATCACGGAGACGAGTGGCAGCCGATGGTTCAGGAACCGAGTAGCATTTGTGCTATTCCGGGTCTTGAATTAGAAGCCAACGGAGCGCCCTCGGGAACTTCGATCTTGCCTCCGGTACCGAACGTGCAAGATAGGTTAGAAACTAACTCTAGGTTGCAATCGGAAGCTTCAATCTTATCGTGTGCACCCGGCATCCGTGATAGGCTTCTATCTCTTTTCAGCGGAGAGATCAATGGCTGGATAGGCAGACTCTGCGAGGATTTTATTCATGCAAGGTCCGATGCACAGAGAAAAAACTTGCTAGACAAGATCAATGCGGTATACGAGGGTATAGGCGATGTTATGGATGACGCTGTACGCGTTCGTGGCTATAGGAATCCGTGGTCACAGCCAGCCAAGGATGTTCGTTGGATTGTCGACGTCAACTTGGCTGTCCAAGAAGTTTTGATGACCATGGTATTTGAAGATGCACCGGCTCTCGCTCGTATGTGCCACGAAGGGTCTTTTGCGTACCAAAAGAGAAAGCTATCGTAGATCCCATCTCAATTGATTAGATTTATGTTCTGTAATCTTAGTCCTTAACACAACCAAGTCCGAGGATAAACTTATGACAGTGAGCCTTAACAACGTCAAACAACCAGCAAGAGATGATTGTTGAGTGGTTTAACAACGGCAAACACTGATTGTTGAATGCTTTTCGAGTTTGTTATATGCAGCAGCTCACAAGCGCCCTAGTCGTGTTATCACCATCCTCTACTGGCCATCCTCAGCCGTTTCCCAAAACCTCGCTCGTTTATTGCTCGGCTTGATCCAGGTTTACCGTACGTGTTTAATCTCTCATCCATTGTGCATTTTTAATCCTATCTCGTAGATGGAGTCTTACATGCAAGTCATCGACTTTAACAACGCCAACTTCGTCGCACCTACCCAGAAGAAAAGGGGCCGAAAGTCCAAATCGGGAACACCTCCAAACGACAACAACGTAGCGCCCACACCTACCACCGACTCGGTCACTGCCACCGCCGACTCGGTCGAAACTACCGACTTGGACATAGCCACCGCCCCTGCCAAGAGGAAGAAGCGGTGGACCACTCCCGAACAGCTCCGGTGGCTCACTGATCGCATCCCCAGCTACGTCGAGGCTGTCACGGCGGAGACCACCGAAGACTTCTGGCCTGAGCTCTACGGCGATTGGTTCATCGACTTCCCCGAGAAACCGCAGTCTCTGAAGAACCTCAATCCCGCTACTATGTCAAAGCAGGAGCGCCTTGTGCATCGCAGAGCCATTGACAAGCGTAAAGATGTACGTCTGCCCGCGTTAGAATCTTCAGCTCTGGTCACATACTAACGTCTCCTCTTGTAATAGCAACTGTACAGCTGGTTCCGATGGCACACGAGGGACGACATAACCTCTTCGCGTGCAATTCACAGAGCCTCCACTCTCCTCGATGCAATAATCGTCCCTCGCACACGCGCCCACTCGGACACAGAAATCTTCACTAGGCTATACTATGACGACATCGAGCGTGAGCTCGCCGACGATCCCGACTACCCCGGTTCTGCCCATCCCCTCCATCTCCAGTTCGTCCGAAAGCACGCGAAGGCTCTCCTTGAAAAAGAGAAGGACAATGAGGCCATCATGGGTGCCATCCAAGGACACAAGGATGCCGAGGCGGATATCAAAGCGAAGTTAGATGCGGGGGAAGGATTAGCAGAGAGTCCAGAGGTCCTTGCAACGTGCGTACTTATCATTGTTTGTGTCGTGCACATCACTGACCATGTTCCCTCAGAATTGCTAGGAACCTTCCCGACTCGTTTAGAGAGTTGATGGCGCTCTCGTCTGAGAAGGTGACGAGCGGTCATTGCGATGGTGTGTTCTACTCCATGATCATGGGCTGTCGCGACCCGGTGACTGGCAGAATGACTGTGACAAGGTGAGTAATCATTTGCATCTAATGCCAATTTGCGCTTACGGTCATTAAAGTGTCCATCTTGGCAACGGCCCCAACGGAAAGAACTTTGAAAAGGACTCCACCCACTGGAGTAAGGTCAAAAAGGAGTTCAATGAATGGGTCCAAACTGCTACCCGTGAGTCGCTCACCCCGACAGTTATCATAACCGACCATCTAATGGCTACATGTCCGTTAACAGCGCCGAAACCTATCTCTAATCAGCAAAAGCAACCGACAGGTGGCAATGAGATACTCTGCACAAAGAGCGGCGGGAAGAAGAGGGAGCACGAGAGCAAGGAAGGTCAGAGCGATGACGAACAGAGCAGCAGCGCTCTTTATACAATCACCGAACACCCAACCGGACGTGAGTCTTGCATCATGATTCATGCCTATACTTGGCCGCTTACTTTCTCTTGCATCAGCTGAAGACGCAAACATGGCACGGACTGGTGAGTGATGCATAACTAGTGTTTACCTCAGATGGGCTGACCTGCTTGATCAGGCGATTTCAGTCTTGCAACACCAGCTGGTACGTCGTGTTTTCTGAGATTTGCCAAATCGGGCTAATTTCATGATGCATTACCGTCAGACGTGTCCTCGCATCTTGGGCTAGCTCAAAGTAGGCGATGGTGCATCACTCCTTTTCCTCATTTGGCTGACTCTTCTTGCATCATCCTCTCAGCGTCCCTGCCCAACCCGGGTACCACATCGATCACAACAACTGGAGGTATGTTCCGGGTTATACTTCTGATCATTTGCTGTTACTTACTACAGGCGCGGACTAGGTGATGAGCTGGTATTCACGCAATGTGAGCCGCAGCTCATTGATCAATCGGCCGAGCAAGTCTACACGACGGACCTCACCGCCGACTTCACTTGTCAGGGTGAGCGTCTAACGATTTCTTTCTACCGTGGCCGTTCTGACTCATTCTTGGCCTAGATCTATCGACGCTGTTCGTTGCCTCTCAAGAGAGCTCGCGTCAGCACCCGCCGACATCATACGGTGCCTCCGATATAAGTACGCATCAACAGGGACCCCCGACGTCCTTCATCGCCTCTGATGCGAGTGCGCATCAATACCCGCCGGCGTCTTTGATCACCTCCGATGCGAGTGCGCATCAATACTCGCCGGCATCTTTGATCGCCTCCGACGCGAGCGTACACCAATACCCGCCGGGGTCCTTCGTCGCCTCCGATACAAGCATGTACCATTACCCAGCGACAAGCTTCAACCCCTATAACATCAACATGCACCAATGCCAGCCGACGTCGGCGGTTGCTTATGGCTCCAGCGTTCCGGACACTACAGCAGGTACATCACAAACTGTAGCATTCTCCATGGATCTGATATCTGCTTGCAGAACTTGACTGGTCTTGGCTGGACGACAGCAGCTTCTCGAGTCTTCTCGCAGACACCGGTCTGGCTCACGGAAACGACCTGTCTAATTACTCGGAATTGCCACCAAACACCCCCTTATCTCTTCAGCCCTCGTTCACTCCTCCAGCCGCTAGCCCTTTAGTATGGCAACAGGAGAGCGTCCAACAGGCGGTCTTGCCAGCGGTTATACTGTCTGATGTCGCCCATCCCTCATCCTCATCATTGTCTGCCCTTCCTTCGCCTCCTCAGTCCTCGCCAGGTCCGGCAGCGTCTCCGTCGCTACATGTACCAGAGTCGACATGTGGCTCTCTTTCTGTACACGGCGCGGGTGCTGTTGTTGAGGCACCAATGGAACACAGTGAAGGCGCGGAGCCCAATTTGTACCGGCGCTCTCGGCGCCCTTTGATGCCCAGCAAGCAAAACGAGATAAATAATAGGATCGGGGACGCGACCACCTCCACGAAGGCCAAACGGGGCGCTGAAAATATTGAGCAAGGTTCCACCAAAAAGTAAGCAACCATAGCATTACGTTGGTTCTTTTGCACTAACGTCCGTGAAAGGAAAAGGAAAATCTGAACACTGACCGGCACTGACCTTTGGGCTCGTTGGTGTTTTCGGACCGCCGGGCCTTCTTGGGTATGGTAGCATCTGAAACATATCCTGTATCTATTGTACGCATGCAGTATCGTACACTATTAGTATTTAGCTCTTGTTTGCGGCTGAATATGCTGCAGTCTGGTGTATATATCGCTGTTTGATGTGCGAGAAGATATGGCAGAATAAAACAAATCGACTTCAGTACACATCCTCAGCCAGTAACAGTAAACATTCGCGCCGTATCGAACGATGGAGGAATAAGCTACATACGGGCAACGTACGGGCACAACACCATGCGGAGAGGGACGCAAACGGTACATACGAGTCACGGTATAAGAATCGCTTTCAAATGTTGGCTATATATACAAGAGACATCCAAAAGATCAATGACAAAGCTCACTGGATGCATCGAAGTATCCTAATGCATGACTTGACATGTTTGGTAATCAGTGCAATGCAAACGTCAGGAACGTTTAGAGAAATATCGTGATGCATCACAAAGGTACTACATTCATGGCTACAAATTAGACAAGTACGCGAGTGATGCACAGGTGTTTTTGGCCGAACACGGAACGGCTTACGCGATGCAACAATATGAGACTAGAATGGGCTGAGTATTGCATCAGCAAACTTGAGCCTATTTCATCATAAACGAAGCTGATATCATGATGCAAGCTCCTGGCTACCTAATACAGACAATATGATGCATCGCGCTCTTTGGCGGCGTTGTGCGTACACCGCGTCTAAAACGGGAACTAGCGGCATGCACAAGCGCTTTGGTTGTCCTAATTAGGCCTATACCAATGCATCATGAGTGGTGTCCTTCCCAAATTAATAAACGAGCGTGGTTGATGCACCACCACCTTGCCGAACGTCTCCGCTAGATGATGCACCAGAATGACTGGTGCGCCTGTTCGTAAAGTGTTGGGAGCGTCGCTCAAACGAGTGAGCATGATGCGTACACAAGTACCATGAAGTCGGTGCGTGAGGGCACCTGATGTGTGCTAGCACAAGCGAACACCACTCATGTTGCGAAACAGCTTTGTTCAAATGTGATAGAACATCAAAAAGGTATGAAGACGACGCTGAGAGTCAAAACATATTTAAGCAGGCTGAACAAAATGTACGTCTGTCATCGGTTCATCCGTTCTCTGCTTCCAACAAGCCACTAAACTACTCTCAAACTGCTTTCGTTGTCTTGCTTTCCTTATGGCTGCAGGCACTGTCAAGCCCGCCACTCGTCGTCACGGTGCTATACCTGCTTCGTCTGCTACAGCGGTAAGTTTTGTTTGCTTATACTGTGTCTGCTGTTAGTGATTGACTCTTGTATTATGACTTCTAAGGGTAAGGCTCGGCCAGAGAACGCTTCGCCGAATACCACCTCAGTCGCAGGCCTGCCTTTAGGGGGCGAGTCGTTCGAGAACGAGCTTAATGCCATCTCGTCCGACGAGTCAACTACGGTCGGCGAGACGGCAAGCTTCCCTCAGCACACAGCCACGCATGTTGCTGCTTCACCCATGCCGCCAGGTCCTCCGCCGGGTCCACCAGGAGGGCAGCCACCGGTCCCGAGCCCAGTTGATGACGTCGCCATTGATGATCATATCCCTTCAACTGCCGACATCATGCACTTCTTCGACCTGACGGATGCTGGCTCTGTCTGCAAATATTGCCGGTAAGTACTAATTAAAGTGTAATCTATATTCGGCACTAAATTCTTGCAGTTGTGCACACGATTCAGACCCGGTGGCATGGCAGAGGGATAGACGACGGCAGCGTATCTACATTTACAACAGGACAAGCGGTGTCTCTACCCTCCGGAAGCACATCACAAACGCCCACCTGAAGGATTATCTTGTCGCTGCTGTTGACAGTCGCTGGAGGGTCTGGTTGCCTTGCGTACGGGAAGTGATGGAACTAGGATACACGCTTCCGGAGATCCGAGACAGAGTCCTTAGAGGGGATACTTTGAGCGACTTCTCTCGTCGCCGTCGATCCATTGCCTCTGACTCTCCGGTACCTGCTTTCAGCCCGGAAGCGTTTCGGCTTGCCATGGCCAAGTTCATTGTGACCAACGACCAGGTATATTCCATCCCGTACTACTCTTTGCTATGCTTACATGTGCTGGCATAGAGCATCAACGTCGTAGAGTGTCCCGAGTTTCGTCAGCTCCTCAGGCTTCTTCGCCCTGATGTGCATGACTCGGAGATCCCACACCGTACAAAAATGCGTGAGGAGATTGTTAACGCATTTCAGGAGTACTTCATTCAGCTGAAATTGGAACTAGATGTGCGTTAGTCTCACTGTCGACCTAGTTTCTATTATTGAGTATCCATCCAGCGTGCTCTTGGGAAGATATCGTGCACTGCAGATGTGTGGTCGAGCCAGAACCGGAGGTCGTACCTGGGTATGACTGTCCATTACGTCACGGAGGATCCAGTTACACATGCTCTCAAACTCAATGCAAGGCTTGTTGGGTTTCACAAGCTCCGCGATCGGCATACCGGCGTCACTCTTGCAAAATCGATTCTTTACCTCCTTGATCGAGTTGGCATCACCGCGAAGGTAACTTAAGTTCTGTAACCAGCGATACCATCCCTTCACTAATAGATCGTATGCAGGTTGGCTGGTTCACCATGGACAATGCATCCAACAACGTGACTGCTATGCAAGAGCTTCAGTCTCTGCTCCAGGCTCGCGAGATTGAGTTTGATGCCAACCAGCATCGCATCATGTGCTTTCCACATATCGTCAACATCTGTGTTAACCATATTGTCAAGAGTTTTTCAGATCTCCGCATGGTTGATGCTCACGCATGGGACCAAGCAATCCCAGACGAGGGCACGCGCACTGCCTTCGTAGGTGCTGTGCTTAGTGACCCAATCGCGGAGGCCCGTGGCATTGTCCGGGATGTCCGTGCATCTGGCCAACGGCGTGACGAGTTTCTTGATACCCTCAAAACAGGTAATGTGTCAAACTGGTTTGTCACACCTGAGGGGGAGCATCAGAAAATCCCGGTGCTGGAGCTCCTGCAAGATGTCGAGACACGTTGGGACTCATCGTACTTTATGCTAAACCGTTTACGTGCTGTCAAGCCGGTGAGCATTCGAGTACAACTATACTTTTGCCCTACTCTAATAACTGGATTAGGGAGTTGATCTATTTCTATCGATGCCTAACCATAGGCACATACGCGCTGCACTGACCCCTGCTCAGTGGGAGGTTCTAGGTGTGTTTGAGCACGTCTTACAGGTAAGATCTATGACAATGCTTCACTTACTAGCTTACTTACCCAGGTAACACTACCTCTAGATTCCTCACGTTGCTCAGCAACGCATGTCTTCGGAATCACTTCCTCGCCTAGGCCGAGCAGCGGCATATCTCGAGCTTCTCATTTATGGATGGGACCACGTTGGACAGGTGGACCCGCGCGCGAAACCATTTGCCGACCTTGGCAGCAATAAAGCCTATGAATACTATCGGCGCACTGACAACTCTGATGCTTATGTCATCTCCATGTGTGAGTTCCCCATCTATTCTTGTCCTCCTCCTCTCGTTCATTCTTTTCCGCAGTCCTTGATCCGGCTTTCAAGCTGGACTGGATGGAGGAGTGCTGGTCAAGTGAAGCCCAGGAGAGCGCAGAGGAGTTGATCAAGAAAACTGTGCGTACCTCTGGTGCCTTAGCGTGCTCAAATCTAACTTTCCGCACTTAGATTTGCCAGTACCGTGAGTGCATGCCGGCACCTGTCCGGGACTCGCGCCACGGGGCTGTGAGGTCAACTCTAGCCAGCTCCTTTGGCATTAAGGACAAGACACGCCGTCGGCGTCCCCAGCACCGCGAGAAACATCTAGATGAGGAGTACCAGGCCTACACAAGCGAGCCTCTGGCTCATGAGGGTTTAGACCCTCTGAAGTACTGGGAGGTTAGTGCTGGACGCGCTCATTCTTATTGTTGTCTGGACTGAGCCGGGTTATGCAAAGGGCAAGAGGGATACATTCCCAACCCTCTTTGCTATGGCTATGGACTTTATGCCTATTCAGGCATCCTCCGTGCCCAGCGAAAGGGTCTTCTCTTCAGCCGCAGAGACCAACACCAAGAAGCGAAACCGTCTGAGCTCAACCATGCTTGAGATCACCCAGATTCTCAAATTCGGTCTGAAGAAGGAGCGACTCAGCTTTGTCGAGGGTTGGAGAACCCACCAGTCAGTTCTTCTCGAGGATCAGCCCGAGGAACCCTCCATCAGCGCCATTCAATCGGCTGGTAGGGCATTGGCTGACTCTCAGGATGACGCCATGGATGCGTTCCTTGTCCAAATTGATCAAGAAGAGGGCCTCGATATCCCTGAGGAGCCGGAGGTTCATGATGTCTTCGAGGAATCTGCTAGCGAGGACTCTGGGTCCAATTCCGAGTCCGGATCTGAGTCTGATGGGCTTTGATTGACTGCGTTTCCTTCAACTCTCCGTGTACTTTAGTTCACCATCATCCCCCACCCACTTGTAGGAGTGTTGTCGTAACCCCCTTCCATCACTAGTACTGGTTTGATTCACATGTTGTATGTACAATTACAATTCATGCCGCTGGCATTTCGCCACTCTCAACCTGTTCGAGACCGTGTTTTCTCAATGGCAGCGATTGAGAGATGTCGATGAAGTATCTGCGCGACGCATGCGCTGATTGTTTATATACTTTAGCTACAATACAAGTCGATAAACTTCAAGTTGAGTTGGTTTAGTGGGCGTGTGAACTAATCGCACTTGGACGCGCGCGTTCTCAACCTGGTCGCTTCTCTCTTACAATCCCTTCCTCACCTGAACATTTGAACGTTGAACCATACCGGCCCTCCCTGCAACGTCGACGCCGACGCTGACGCTCGAAAATCAGAGCACGCAAGGGTGGGAGCTGTGTAGACATCCACTCTGTGCAAGGTGGACTCTCTGCCAGCACCTACCCTTTGCGAATACTGGATTTGTCGTCCCTCGGCCTTTCAAGCACCCACAAGAGCACTCACAAGGTACGCTGTGACATTTCCTCTATAACTCAGATACGGGGACTTAGTGATCATGTTTGTAGTTCGCCCGCCCGAACCTCCAAGTCCAAGCATGTTCCCTTTTCTTCTCTCGACAACCGCACTCCTACCTTCTTGCCTGTGCTGCGACACGCTGGTGATGGCATCCCTTCCCAATGCCGACTCGTCCAGACCGCACAACGGCTCATGTGCGCCTCCATCCAATGAAGACGTCACCGAAGGGTCCCGCGCCAGGCCATTGACAACGGGCGCAGAAGACGACGAGCGCCGCGGTCGGTCCACGCTCCTGCGGCCCGAGTCCTCACATTGCAACTTGAGCGCTCGTCGGCCGCTCACGCGAGGCGAGTCCAACGCGGTCCGTGCGCTTCGCGGACATGGACCACCCTCAGAGCGGGGCAAGCACGCCGCGGCAGTCACCGTTGTGGTGAGGCGGAGGGCGAGGGTGATGATGGGCAAGCGCGGTGCACGGAACGAGTCGAGCCGTTGTCGGCCCTTTTGCCTACTTCCCCCACGTTCTCCACCAGCGTTGACGATGACTCTCGCACCTTGAGATGATGTCTCATCACGCCGCCCGTCTCGCGCGCAGTCTCTTTCTCTTTCTCTCATCTTCTTTGCTTCCCTCGCCATCCCTGTCTTTGCACCGCTCCCTCAACGTAGGACGCAAGCAAGAACGAATATGGAACAGCTGTTGGTATTGGTACGTGCGCTTGGTCCCGCTGCGCACCCTGTGACTCTAACATCTCTTGAACAGACTTGGGCACTACGTATGTCTCTGATGCTCACCTGCTGAATTGAATACTGACCATCTTCGTCATTACTTAGCTACTCGTGCGTTGGGTAAGCAGCATTCTGAACATTTCCACCGAACCTCAGGCTAACGTGTTCCTTCAGTGTGCAGCGTGGCGGTCACGTTGAAATCATCGCCAACGACCAGAGACACCGTATTACACCGTCATGGGTCGGCTTCACCGACGACGGGCGACTGTAAGCTTCCGAAATTTTAACCTTACTCCTGTGTCTAACTATGAATCTAGGATTGATGGCTCGGCCAAGAACGCCTTCCACACGAACCCCAAGAATACGGTCTTTAATGCCAAGCGTCTCATTGGCCGCAAGATGGACGAAGCTGATATCAAGCGCGACATGAAGAACTGGCCATTCGAAGTCATCAAGGGCGGCAAACCGGTCATCTCTGTCGACCACAAGGGCAATACCCGCGAGTTCACACCCGAGGAGGCTTCCGCCATGGTGCTTACCAAGGTGAAGGAGACCGCTGAGGCTTACCTCGGCGAGAAGGTCACTCACGCCGTCGTTACTGTCCCTGCCTGTAAGTTTTCCTGCTCTAGTTCTACCATATTAAAGTTCACCCAAGTATCGTAGACTTCAACGATGCTCAGCTTCAGGCCACCAAGGATGCCGGTACCATCACCGGTCTCCAGGTCTTCCGCATCATCAGCGAGCCCACGCCTGCTGCCATGGCGTACGGATTCAATAAAAAGGGCGGAGAGTCTCAGATCATCGTCTATGACCTCGGTGGCGGTACCTTCGACATCTCCCTCCTCTCCATGGCGTCTTTGAGGTTCTGGCTACCGCTAGTGATACTCACCTTGGTGGTGAAGACTTCGACAACCGTGTGTATTGAGGGCCTCAACTCCCTCTCGTCGTTTGTTCACGGTCTCAAGTCCTATCCTGGCGACCAGTCAGCGATGCTGACGACGATTTCACTATCATAATGAGATACGGGAATTTAATTGGGTATTCATACGTACAAACTACAGTGTATTCTTACGGGTAATCTAGATCACCAGCTATGTGGTAAAGTAAATCTGGACGCAAGTGCTGCCATGGTCATGTGACCTATATGTTGAATTGTTGAAGTGCGCACCTCAGCACGCAGTGCTCAACCTGTGTGCACCCTTTCCGCGTGCAGTCACGAACGTTCAAAGCTCCTACTATTGCCATGTCAAAATCCTATATCTCTCGCGTCAACGGTCAGTATCGGCTGAAGAGGACGGTTAGCCCTGGGTCCGATAGTAAGTCCTTCTTTCTTCTCTATGTCTCAGTCAGTTGACCATCATGACGGACTAGGCATCATCGTACGAGCATCAAGCATCACAAAGACACAGCAAAGTGTCGATGTCAAACTCGTTAAAGCAAGCCGAGAGGCGGGTACTCTACAGCATGAATATGAGGTCCTTCAGCAGCTTGGCGGTGTCAACGGAGTACCTCGCGCCCACTGGTTTGGACCAGAGTATCCTTATGATGCTCTCGTCCTCGACCCACTTGGACCAACCTTGGAGGATGTGTTTGCCGCCAGTGGGCGGAAACTTTCGCTGGGAACAATAGTTGACATTGCACGGCGACTGGTGAGCATGTATACATAGTCTAAGACCTCGACTGAGTTGTCTTTGGAGATCACCTGTTTGGAGGACGTTCACTTGCACCAGTATCTTCATCGCAACATATCCCCTTCAAGTATCTTCCTTGGAGATCAGCAGTCTGGCAATATCTATCTGTCAGAATTCATGCTTGCGCACAGATTTCGAGATACCTTCATGCACCGCCATCTTTCAATCCCTTCCTCTGAAACCCTGACATACTCTGCAGACTTCGCGTCGATCGACTGTCATCTTGGGGCTCCCGTAGGCCGTTGTGATGATCTGGAGTCGCTAGCTTATGTCTTCCTCTACCTGTCGACAGGTTCTCTGCCGTGGCGACACCCAAACCAAACCAACGATGTCATTCTTCACGGCAAGCAGGCCACCTTAGCAAACATGAACGATTCCCTCCAGTCATCGCCTACTGAGTTTTTGAATATACTCTCATACGCCCGTTCCCTCTCATTTACCGACAAACCTGACTATCCCTATATACACTCACTTTTACATGACCTAGACTCGAGGTTGACCAGCGAGGAAACTGCCCCATTCAATAGGCTCGAATGGCAACTATCTGACGTGCGTTATTGTAGTATGCCGAAGCCAGTGATTATTGCTACACCCCGCAAATCTCATCGGTAAGATTCACTTTCTAATGTTCGAGCCTCTAATACTAACTCCAAACCCAAGTCGCTACCGCCCACATCGTAATGTAGGGCTGCTTCCTGTTCAATCTCCTCTTCGGGTTACTTCTGGTGGTCTGGTCTGAGTACCGATATGTGTCGATTTATTAGTTGGCGAAACGTGCGCGTGAGGACGGACGTATATACTTGTTACAGAAAGCTATGTATAGTTGGGACGCTTTCGTGTACTTGTATGTCGGTTAGAACCAGTCCCAAACCGGTTCGGAACCAGTTCTATTCATTGCCAGTCCCACGTAGTTCCTAACCCGAACTGAACCAAAACTAACCGGGACCGGGCCCTTTCTGCGGTTCAGTCCCGAGAACCAAACTGATGGCATCAGAAAACCAGTCCCTATGGGACCAGTCCCGGTCAATTGAACCGCGGCAACACTAGCTGAAGGACAATGACTTGAACGCAGAAGGATGGCTAGGATAGGTTAGACGTAGTTATGGGTGGACGGAAGAACATCGGTTGCGAAGGAAGCAAAACACGGGTTGTCGGGCCGGGGTCCGATGGAGGCGAGCTGTATCCGAATTGCACCCGATGCGAACAGCACGCCACATCCAAACTCAGTGGGCAGTGCAGGCATATAAGTACAACAACTACGCCGGTCCAGTTCGCAATCAACTATCGGTGTACATACATATCTACCAATGAATTAATGAGGGCTGGGAACTTTTATTAGTGGTGGTACTTATCTCAAAGTTATACTTATCCAAGCGGAATCTCATTCAAGCGATCTATGACTTTACCACTCCACGTCTTTGTATCAATCGAAAAGAACTTGATGAAGGGAGCAAGCGGTGTTCTAGAATTTTAATGGTCATGTCCAAAGATATTTTACCACTGATGATTAATGCGAACAACCTGAATCTCTCAGGTATCGTGCCAATGAGAACCTCTTGGACTGTTGAATGAGGGTAATCGCTGAACTTAATGCAGGTTTCTTCCTTGAGCATCACATCGGCGATGCGGATGCCACCAGAGGCGCAATGTAGAAGGTATGATGTTGAGGGACAGTCAGCCCGCAGCTAAAAGGAGTATGTATACCCCGCTGGTGAACATAAAATGGGTTATAAGTTCTGATGGTTGGTTCAAAGCTTGCTTACCCTGCACAAACCCCGCACCACCAATTGCTTGTAACCCTGTCCGGTGTAAGAATGTCTGACGGGATAGAATCTCTCGATACCCAGAGTGATTGAGCTTGCAGCCAAATACAAGGTGTGTTAGCTCAATGAACTGGGGATCCCTGCTGACTCACTGCCGCTATGCAGTGGTGTGGCGGAGACGACGGTGACGGCAGAGCGGAGGAGCTTAACGACGCTAGAGCAGCGGACTCAGAGCGGCGACAGAATACGGAGGATCCCAAAGACTAGTCCCAATGACAAAGATTAGATTGGTGTATCTACAGGTACATCAGGGGATGAATACGCACCTAGTCCCAATGACAAAGAGGTCGAGATGGGGACTAGGGATGAAGGTACTGTCGCGATTGCATTCACGACAGCATGACCAGTCATGACACTCACGTTTAACTTACATTTCACGCATTGTTGCTGAAGTCGCAACTTCACTTCTTGGTGCAATAGGTCACGTGACCGGCTACTTCAACAACCGGTCACATGACCCGGGTCGGCTACCTTACATTACCATCTTATGTAATCATTCTCTATCACTCCCGGACATTCCATATGACATCATGATGACGTCAATCACACATCATGACTGACATCATACCTACGTCATTCCTTTACCATTAGTAGTAGTACCTTGCACAGCATGGTCTATGCGCACACTGTCATTACCATAGTAGGTAGACTGTTTGGCTCGACCAAACAAACTGTACTAGTATATAGTCTGAGCAATCCACGCCCCAAGACTCTAAGTGAGTTCTTGTGGGAATTCCTCCTACAGTTCTATACCTAGTCTTGCCACGTCGGCGAGCAGTCTATCTCGTCTCCGTCTTACCCTCTCGACGTCGTCCCGTACTTGGGGCTTCGTCGTCTACCTTCTCGAGAACTCGCGTGTAGTTGGTTTCTGGGGCTTGCGCCTTAGGAGTCGCTCACAGGTACAAGGTTTATATAGTAAATCCTGGGCAGTGTCCATAACAATGCCAAACAAATGAGTCAGAGTCCAAAAGCGCAGCCCACGCGGAGCGTGAACGAAACAAGACAATGCGCGAGAAGGTAAGAGAGATAGGGGTAAAAGAGAAAAGACAGGGGCTGTACCCCCGCGTCTGTGACATTACCCCCCCGCTAGTCTTCGTCGTCCTCGACGAACTACAGACCACCATTCCAAACCGACAGGAGGGTGGCTCTGATGCGCTTGGGGGCAGTTGGGTTGGTGTGGTGGAAGTCATTTACCAGGTCTCTGGCGTGTTCATGTCCTTCGCCTTGACCCAGCTGTCGTGCCCTTCGTCATAACCTTTCCACCGGACTAGGTAGTGGAGGGCACGCCACCGGATTTTGCTATCGAGGATCCGCTCTACCTCGTATTCGCGAGTGTCGTGACTCAGTTCGACCGGTTCTGGGGGTGGGGGTCGCTTGCTGTTAACGTCATTGCTGCGCCAGGGGGAGAGCTTGTCGACGTGGAAGACAGGGTGAAGGCGGCTCATATCGTGCGGAAGGTCTAGCCTGTAGTTGAGGTCGCCAACCTTCTCGAGTACTTTGTATGGTCCGAGCTGTCGGTCACCTAGTTTCTTGGTCGGAATCTGCAGGTCGATGTCTTTCGAGCTGAGCCAGACGTGATCTCCGACCTTGAAGACGTGCACTTTGTTCTTGCCACGCTCGTAAGTTTCCTTCTGCGCTTTCTTGGTATTGCGAAGTGCCGCTTCGACATCCTTGCGTGCCTCACGTAGTGCTGTGATCCGGCGGTCGACCTCGGGTATACCGGCTCGGCGTCCAACTGGGATGTTGAAGAGCGGTAGGTAGCCGTATGTGACCTCGAATGGTGACATGCCGTGTGCGGAGTGCGTGCGTGAGTTGATGACAAACTCAGCCTTGGGGAGGTGGGCGTCCCAGTCGTCCTGGCGCTTGTTGACGTAGAGGTGGAGGTACTTCTCCACTTCTTGGTTCGTCCTCTCCGTCTGCCCGTTAGCCTGGGGGTGGTAGGCGGTGGTCATGGCGGAGTCGATGCCTAAACGGCGTAAGAGCTCCTGCATGAGGCGGGCCGCGAACTGAACTCCTCGGTCGGAGACAAAGCGTAGGGGTAAGCCGTGGAGACGGAAGATCTCTCGATAATAGATATCCGCCACTCCCTTGGCGTCGATGTCTGACGTGCAGGGTATGGCGTGCATCTCGTGCGCCTTGGGGAGTTGCATAATGAGATCGACTCCAACCTGCTCCCATAGGCCTTCTGGGGTGTCTAGCGGTTTGGTCAGGGCTTGGGGGTGTCGGACTAGTTTCCGCCGTGCGCAATCTTCACACCCCTCAACGTACTTTTCGGCGAAGGCGCGCATCGAGGGCCACCAGGAACGGGTGTCGAGGAGGGAAATCGTGCCATGTACTCCCGGGTGTCCAGCGGTGGGGCTGTCATGACACATCCTTAGGACGTCGCGTCGTAGCTCAATGTCCGGCGGTACGTAGACGCGGCCTCTGTAGAACACCAGTCCGTCTTCTTCCTCCCACTCCGTCAGTCCACCCGCTAGTCGCTTCGGCCCCTGCTTCTTCAGGTTCTCCAGCACCTCTAGGACGTTGGCCTCTCGGCTGCTGGCCCGTCTAATGCGCTCCTCTAGGGGGTTGCTCAGAGCTGTGGCAGCCAGCTTAGCCCATCGCTCTGGACCCAGGACGACCTCCTGTCTATTGTCGTCAGCATCGGAGGTCTGGTGCGCGGAAAGTCGCGAGAGGGGGTCGGCCTGCGTGTGTGCTTTCCCGGGGCGGTAGGTGAGCCTGAAGTCAAAGCGAGAGAGGTACATTGCCCAGCGGGCCTGGCGGCGGGTCAGGTCCTGAGCGGTGCGCCAATACTGCAGGTTCACGTGGTCGGTGACGATCTCAAACGGCTCGGGTAGTCCTTCGAGGAAGTGGCGCCATTCCTTTAGTGCTTCAATAATCCCGAGTAACTCGCGGTCGTAGATCTCGTAGTTGCGTTCCGCAGGTTGCATCGAGGCTGATTGAAAGGCCACTGGGTGCCAGCTGCCGTCAGGGAGTTGTTGCAGTAGGACACCTCCCGTGGCAAATCCCGAGGCATCCACTTCGACCCGAGTTGGTCTTGTTGGGTCCCAGAGTACCAGGATCGGGGTGGAGGTGAAGGCTCCGCGAAGCGCCTCGAAGGCGGTCTGTTGTTCTCGGTCCCAGCTCCAGCTGTGGTCCTTTTTTGTTAGATCGTTGAGGGGACGAGCAATCGTGGAGAAGCCTCGGATAAACCGGCGGTAGAAGTTGGCAAACCCGAGGAACCCGCGAACGTCGCGAAGGTTCTTCGGGGTCGGCCAATCTCGTACTGCGGCCACCTTGGCTGGGTCCATGCTCACTACTCCCTCACGGATCACCAGGCCTAGGTACTCGATCTCTTCTTGTTCGAATTCGCACTTCTCGGGTCTGAGATAGAGGTCGTGCTCCTCTAGTCGGCGTAAGACTTTGTGTGTCACTTCTCGATGTTCCTCTAGTGTCATGCTAAAGATGAGGATATCGTCCAGGTAAACCGCGACCTTGCCCTTGGAGATGAGATCGGCAAAGATGGAGTTCATCAGTGCTTGGAAGGTGGCAGGGGAGTTGGTGAGACCAAAAAACATCACCATTGGCTCAAAGAGTCCTCGGTTGGTTGCGAACGCGGCCTTCCACTCGTCTCCTTTCTTAATCCGTACGTTGTTGTAACCCCATCGGACGTCAAACTTGGTGAAGTACTTGGCACCTCGGAGTCGGCCAATGATGTCGCTG